AGCCTGACCCTTTTACCCTCACCCTAACCTGGAACGGTCACTAAGTCAGCAGTCCTAAACTAAAGTCTACCCTGTAGCCAGAAATGGCCTCTTACTCCTTACGTTGAAGACTCAAGTTACAACTATTTTATTTTATTTTATTATGTTATTTTATTTTATTTATTTTATTTTATTTTATTTTTTTATTTTACTTTGCTTTACTTTATTTTATATTATCATTTTATTTTATTATCATTTTATTACAAGAGACTAGACAATCACCTGTCTGAGATAGGTTCCCCTGCTTGAGCAGGGGGCTGGACTAGAAGACCTCCAAGGTCCCTTCCAGCTCTGCTCTATTCTGTTCTGTTCTGTTCTGTTTTATTCTATTCTATTCTATTCTTTCTAATTCTATTCTGTGCTGTTCTGTTTTATTCTATTCTGTTCTTTCTAATTCTATTCTATTCTATTCTGTTCATTCTATTCTTTCTAATTCTATTCTATTCTATTCTATTCCCATATTCTATTCTATTCCATTCCATTTCATATATTCTATTCTGTTCTGCTCTGCTCTGCTCTGCTCTGCTCTGCTCTATTCTATTCTATTCTATTCTATTCTATTCTATTCTATTCTATTCTATTCTATTCCATATATTCTATTCTATTCTATTCTATTCTATTCTATTCTATTCTATTCTATTCTATTCTATTCTATTCTCATATTCTATTCCCATATTCTATTCTGTTCTGTTCTATTCTATTCTATTCTATTCTATTCTATTCTATTCTATTCTATTCTATTCTATTCTATTCTATTCTATTCCATTCCATATATTCTATTCTATTCTATTCTATTCTATTCTATTCTATTCTATTCTATTCTATTCTATTCCATTCCATTCCATTCCATCTCTATTCTATTCTATTCTATTCTATTCTATTCTATTCTATTCTATTCTATTCTATTCTATTCTATTCCATCTCCCTTCATTCTATTCTATTCTATTCTATTCTATTCTATTCTATTCTATTCTATTCTATTCTATTCTATTCTAGTCCTGCCACGGTGCACATATGGCTTCTCTCCCCCGCAGTGCCTGCAGCCGCCCCGGAGGACATTGTGACTATTCAGAATGGCAGCTGCACCATCATCCAGTGGGGGGAACCCCGGGGCAAGATCAACGGGATCCTTCAGGGGTACAAGCTGGTTTGTCAAAGCGGGGACTCGCCCGAGGTGAGTAGGCTGTACCTGCAGGCCGCCTGGCTCCTGAGCCCTGTTCCAATCCCCAGCTGAAAGTTTGCAGATCATCCCCCACTAACGACCACTTGCTTAGCGACCATCGCAAAAAGGGATCATAGGACTTGGGCACACGGCATCCGTCATAAATAAGAGTCAGTCGCCAATTGCCTGAATTTTGATCACGTGACCCTGGGGAATGCTGCAATGGTCGTAAGTGTGAAAAACGATCATAAGTGCTGTTGTAACTTCGAACAGCCACTAAACAAACTGTCATAAATCGAGGACTATCCGTATTTACGATGACCTCCTGGGCAGGGTCACGTGATCCCCATTTGCGACTGTCCCAACCGATTTCTGACAAGCAAAGTGACTGGGGGAAGCTGTGCGACTCACTTAGCAAATTGCGGTGATCTGCTTAACAACCAGGTCAAAAAAGCTGTAAAAATCAAGTCCCTTCACCACCACCTTGCTTCTCATTGTGGTCGTAAGTTGAGGACCACCTGTATCGCATACCGTTCCCTTCTTTGGGTTGGGAGTCATAGAAGGCTGGGAGGGACCTTTGGAACACGTGAACCTCTCAAATCGTTGCGACGCCATTTTTTAAGGAAAGAAATTCGGAGGGCAGAAGACAAAGAAGAAGAAACAGCTTTTGCTCCTGTGTGATTTTGCCCAGCGGGCTTGCTTAGTGGGTCCTTGGGACTCGTAACACCTGGTTGCCCCCCAGTTGCACATCCCCTGGTCAATATCTCACTGAAGGCCTTGCCTGTCTCTTTCTCCCCCCAAGGTGATCGTGGACGTGGGACTGACCAACCAGACAGTTTTGTCTCTGAACTCAACTGTACAGAACTTAACCGTACGGATTGCAGCCTACACCAGTGCTGGAGACGGACCCTGGAGCAAAGCCATCACAATCTTCCCCTTGGAACCAGGTAAGAAATGGGAGTGCATGTGGCCACCTGGAGGGCCGTCACCTTGGGAGAACTTCAGGCTGGTTCTGATGCTCTCAGACCACCCGGCTTTTTGCTTCTGCTCCTTTTCTTGTGGCTTGGAAACTTATAGAGTTCCAGAACATAAGCTAGACTCTAGAAAGAGTATAGAGAAGAGCAACAAAGATGATTAGGGGACTGGAGGCTAAAACATATAAGGAACGGTTGCTGGAATTGGGTATGTCTAGTTTAACGAAGAGAAGGACAAGGGGGGACATGATAGCAGTGTTCCAATATCTCAGGGGCTGCCATAAAGAAGAGGGAATTAAACTATTTTCCAAAGCACCTGAAGGCAGGACAAGAAGCAACAGGTGGAAACTAATCAAGGAGAGAAGCAACCTAGAACTAAGGAGAAACTTCCTGACAGTGAGAACAATTAATCAGTGGAACAGCCTGCCTCCAGAAGCAGTAAATGCTCCAACACTGGAAGTTTTTAAGAAGAGACTGGAAAGCCATTTGTCCGAAATGGTGTAGGGTTTCCTGCCTGAGCAGGGGGTTGGACTAGATGACCTCCAAGGTACCTTCCAACTTTACTACTATTACTAAGTGGAGTCTCTGGTTTCAAATGTAGGTCTGGTGGGCCCCAAAGGATCAAAGTTTTATTCTAATCGAGGCAATGGCGGTCTTGTCTATTGACCATCTTCATCCATCTATCATCTATCGGTGGAGTTCTTGGTTCTCTATGACCTTGATGGTTTGCTTGCAGGTGTTTTATTGCTCAAGTATCCATCTAGCTAGCTGGCTATCTAGCTATCTCCATCCCTCCCCCCACTTGTCCCCCCACCCATCCATCCATTCATCTCCCCACTCATCCATGCATCCGTGCATCCAATCACTCATCTATCCATCCATCCAACCATCCACCCACCCACCGATCCATCCAGCCATCCACCTACATAGTTCTTAATGTTTTTTTTTTCTCTTGCAGGTGAAATACTACCAGCTCCTCAGTCAGGTGAGAAGCTTTTTTCTGAATCCAAGGGACACTAAAAATGGAAAGTTGGGATAGGCAACTCCCCACAATGAGGATTATTATATCTTCCATCCATTGATCCTATGGAGTTTTGCAATGCGTGTCTAATGGTCCTACCAATGATGGTTTGTCTTCCAGAACGTTTCAGAGGCTAAATCAGTGTTTCTCAACCTTGACCATTTTAAGGCATGTGGACTTCAACTCCCAGAATTCCACAGCCAGCAATGCTGGCTGTGGAATTCTGGGAGTTGAAGTCCACATGCCTTAAAATGGTCAAGGTTGAGAAACACTGGGCTGGATAATTACCTAGAAAAGTTTACCCACTGAAAAAGCTCCATTCACTAACAATAGTTTCTCTTCTTCACAGTAGGACTCTCTGTCCCTGCCTTCTCCTGGCACTGGTGGTACGTGGTGATCGCGGTGGCCACTGCTGTGGCAGCCACCATCTTCATCATCATCTTCTTAGCACGTATGAGGAAGAAGGAAACACGTTACGGGTAAGGTGGCCCTCAAGAAAAGCCATACAGTGTTTAAGTCTTGATCAGTCCTTTGGGTGGTTCTCGTGGTGGGATCCATCAGGACCCCATTTCGTGTTTTCTTTCTGCTCAGGGAAGCATTTGAGCCCAACATGGAACAGGGGGAGCTGGTGGTTCACTATCGGGCCCGCAAATCGTACAGCCGCCGGACCACTGAAGCTACTTGTGAGTTCTTCTTCCCCACAAATGCAGTGTGTATCAGGGCCTGACTTTACACTGAGATCCAGAAAGCAGCATTCGCTGTGGGGTCCTTGGGGTCCCTGAGCTGGATGGGGTTTTTTTGCAGACATTTCGTGACCAAACTAGGTAACGTCATCGGTGCATAAGGAACATTCACATTTCCCCACCGTTTTAGCAGTTGCAGCTCATGCCCGTCAAGGCAACAGCTGGTGCAAAGTTGAGCTAGACCAGTGGTTCTCAACCTTTTTAATGTTGTGACCCCCAACCGGTCGTAAGTCGAGGACGACTCAACCAGTCGTAAGTCAAGGACTACTCAACTGGTGCAGCACCGTTTGCAGAATGGGACTTTTGGCGGGCTCAGCAGGGCAGAGACAGCCTGGACAATTCCTATTGGCTTTTGAAAGCCAATAGAATTAGACTCTATTCAAGAGAGTCTATTCTATTGGCTTTCAAAAGCCAATAGAATAAAAGGGAGTAGCACAGCTAAGGAAAAGGGGGAAAAAATGGCGGACTGCGTTGTTTGGCGACCCCCGTGAAATGGTCGTTCGACCCCAAATGGGGTCCCGACCCACAGGTGGAGAACCACTGAGCTAGACTCTGATGTAGGTGACCTCTTTAAGTCTTATGTTCCATCACCTTTCTATATATATAACCCTCAACAGTCCATAAATGGCTAGGCAGATTCCATAAGATCAAAGGAGAAGGTTCTCATGGTGGAATCAGGAGCCTCTGCCCGCTTATCCTTCAGAAGGAGAAGATCAACCCAACTTAGAGAAGAAGGTTTCCACTTACAGCCCAACCAGGAAACCTTGATACGATTCAACCCAGATCCGGAGATGTTTGCAGCAACAGTAGAAGTCCAATCTTCCCCAATGCTAGCTGATATTTTAGCAGCCTCACTTCAGGCATCTCTCCAGGACATTAAGCCGGGAAAGCTGGATTGTGTTGGCTTCCCGGCTGAGACTTCTGTTTTGGACCTCAAGGAGGCCTAATTCGGATATTTCTTCTTGCCAATTACTGGCTGGGTTTAAGGCAGGCGTATCCAACCTTTGGCAACTTTAAAACCTGTGGACTTCAACTCCCAGAATTCCCCAGCCAGCATAGCATAGCTGGCTGGGGAATTCTGGGAGTTGAAGTCCAGAAGTCTTAAAAGTCGCCAAGGTTGGACAGCCCTGCTTTAGACGCTAGTGCATAGATCAGTGATGGTGAACCTTTTAGAGACCGGGTGCCCAAAAACCACCACCCCCATCCTGTCCCCGCTCCGCCGTGCCCGCTGCACCACCCACCTCCTCCACAGCCCACCACAGATCACCCAGGTAGCCCAGCAGCGCCCGGTGGCCACGCCCTCCACCCATGCCCTGCAACATCACCTGCACGCGATGGGGTGCAAGGACAGAGTCTTGTCCCCGCTTCCTAGCTACCATGTCCTTGGCTGAGCAGCATTGTGTGGGCCGTGCCCGGGGGCAACTCTCCTCCGGAGGGCTGCTGGTGAGGGGGCTGTGGGAGGAGGCGGGGCTGGGGTGACGTGCGTGTGCCCACAGAGCGGGCTCCGAGTGCCGTCTCTGGCACGCGTGCCCTAGGTTCGCCACCACTGGGATAGATGATTTGAGTCAGGTCTTCTTTGCAAAAGAGCCGAGGTGGCGCAGCAGTTAGAGTGCAGTACTGCAGGCCACTTTAGCTGACTGTGTTCAGCAGGTCAGCGGTTCAAATCTCACCGGCTCAAGGTTGACTCAGCCTTCCATCCTTCCGGGGTAGGTAAAATGAGGACCCAGATTGTTGGGGGCAATGTAAATATATATATATACATTGCTTACTGGTGTACACCGCTTAGAGAGTGCTTGCACTTAAAGCGGTATATAAGTCTCATAAATAAAATAAATCTCCTTTCCTTCCTACAGTGAACAGTCTGGGCATTAGTGAAGAACTGAAGGAGAAGCTTCAGGATGTAATGATTGACCGCCATAGGGTGGCCCTGGGCAAGACCCTTGGCGAAGGTACGTTCTAGGGGCCGGTCTCAATTATGGCTTAATAACGGGTTCAAGGTTAGGGCAGCGCTGTACCACATAGAACAGGGGTAGCAAAATGACTTTCGATTTCATTCTGATTAAATTAGGCAGTAATTTAGGTAGCAGCTCCCAGCTAACCCTTGTTGGACCTTGTGGGGGTGAGGCCAAGATGGTGCCTTCCATTTGAAGCCGCCATCTTAAGTGTTTTGACCTCTCCTTGTGGACGACCTCGCCTCGATAGTACCTGAATTGTGGAAAGTTCCTGATTGGTTAACCCAGTGTTTCTAGTTGTAATAATAATAGTAATAAAGTTGGACAGGACCTTGGAGGTCATCTAGTCCAACCCCCTGCTCAGGCAGGAAACCCTATCCCATTTCGGACAAAAGGCTGTCCAGTCTCTTCTTAAAAACTTCCAGTGTTGGAGCATTCACCGCTTCTGGAGGCAGGTAGTTCCACTGGTTAATTGTTCTCACTGTCAGGAAGTTCTCTCATAGTTGTGTGGAAGGGTGGACTTCAAGTCCCAGAATTCCCCAGCCATCAGGCTTGGGAACTTTAAGAGAGGTGGACTTCAGCTCCCAGAATTCTCTGATCAACAAAGCTAGTGAGGTTTATGATGTGTGGACTTCATCTCCCAGAATTCCCCAGCCAGCAAGCTATTGAAGTTTAAGACAAGAGGACTTTAACTCCCAGCGTGGCTGGCTGGGGAATTCTGGGAGTTGAAGTCCAAGTGGAGAAACACTGGGTTAATTCTTAAGAGCTGCGAATTTGCATAGCCCAGGACCAGTCTGAGAGAGACGCCTTTTGCTTCTGATGGAAAATAGTAACCCACCACACAACACTTGCCTAAGATTAAATACATGTAAATTTATGAGGGGGGGGGGAAGTAACCCAGACATTGGCAAAATTATCCTAGCAGGAAAAGCCTCCAATTGCATCATGGAAATAATTGCGTGAATGTTTGCTAGTTTATTAGAATTGCATAACGATTCCTTTCAAGTCGCCGGAATTTCTCAGATTGTTGGCAGTCTCTTGCAACTGGCTTCTTTTTCAGCCTGCTGATTGGCTGGCTGTGTTTGAGTTGTTTCTTTTGCTATGGTAATTGTTTTAGTCTCTGGGTTAGGCTGGGATGGCTTACGTCCTGCACTGGGCAGCCATCGGGATGGGTTGGCCCCTAATCCATTTTTATAGCTTAATGATATATAAATTGGCCTCAAATGGGAAGCCGGGTTTCTAAGACAGCCATAATGATCAACTACACCATTACTAAGCACTCTCCCTGGCTCTCTTGCCGTCAAAATAGAACAAGAGATGAAGGGCCGTTTTGCTCATTTAGGTCAGAGGCCTGTGGCAGACTTTCCTTCCCAGCGTCACTTCAAGCCCAGCTGGAATTAGTTTGGAAGCATTTCTGAAAGAGGAAAACATTTAGAGAAGCTTTTGTCAATGGATCTCCTTCCTTCCTTATTTCCTTCTTCCCTCCTTCCCCCCTCCTTCTTTCTTTCTTTCTTTCTTTCTTTCTTTCTTTCTTTCTTTCTTTCTTTCTTTCTTTCTTTCTGTCTTTCTGTCTTTCTTTCTGTCTTTCTGTCTTTCTGTCTTTCCTTCCGCCCACCCTCCTTGTCCTTCCTTTCCTTCTCTCTCTTTCCTCCCTTCCTCTCTCTTCTTTCCTCTCCTTCCTTTCCTCCCTCTCTCCCTTTCCTTCCTTCCTTCCTTCCTTCCTCCCTCTCCTTCCTTCCTTTTTTCCTTCCTTTCTTCCTTCTCTCCTTTCCTCTCCTCCCTTCCTTCCTACTTCCTTCCTTCTGCCCACCCTCCTTGTCCTTCCTTCCCATCTTCCCTCTCCTTCCTCCCTTCCTCTCTCTCCTTTCCTCCCTCCCTCCCTTTCCTTCCTCCCTCCTTGCCTTTCCTTTCTTCCTTCCTTCCTTCTCTCCTTTCCTCCCTGTCCTTCCTTCCTTCCTCCCTCCCTCCGTCCCTCCCTCCCTTTTTCCTTTCTTCTGCCCACCCTCCCTGTCCTTCTTTCCCTTCTTCTCTTCCCTTCTTCCCTTCCTCTCTCTCCTCTCCTCCCTCCCTCCATCCCTCCCTTCTTCCCTTCCTTCAGTGGTAACTTCGAACAGTCACTAAACAAACAAGCTAAAGACTACCTGTATATATAATTTCGTTTGCCTGTTTGTGTTCGTGTGCACCTTGTTGGCCTCTGGCAACTAAGCAGTCAAGTCCCTGCAGTTTTCTTGGCACGGTTTTCCCAAGCGCTTTGCCCTTGCCTCCTTCCAAAGCTGACAGAGGAGAACCAGCCCAAAACCACTCAGCTGGCTTTGGGCCCATCTTAAAGCAGGAATAGAATTCCCTGGTTCCTTCCTGGATGCTTTTACCCACTGCAACCAACCGGCTCATATCCCAATTATAAATATAGTCGGATAAATCAGAAAGCACATTAAACCAGCTACGTACATGGGCGCCCCAACGTCCTCGCCTTGCCAATGGTTCGTTTTGATGCCATTCCAAAGGACAGCAACCTCTCTGCAGCCCCCACGTTCTCCAGGCTCAGCCAGAAAGGCCAAATTTAAAAATAAAATTAAAAAAAAAAACCTATAAAAGAGAACCAATAGCTGGCTTCTCAATTTTCCCTAAATGTTTTTAATTATGAGTATCCGATCCTGGCTAGATTCATCCCACGCCTTCAAAATGGATAACAGGAAGCCGTTGTTATAAAATAATCTGGCTGATTTACTACTCAGCGTAGGTGATCGTGTTACTTGGGTGAAGATCAGTCATTTTTCTATGGAAAGACATCCCTTCCTTATCTGAGCTATCCATTTTTTTCTTCCCTTCATGTAGGACAGGCTCATGATAACGTCTGGGTTGGGGGGAAAAAAACATCTTCTTGCCCAACCATATAATGATGTGTGGGGGTGTACTTAATCCCTGAGGACCTTTGGATGACAACCTTTTCCCCTGCTATGTGGCTGGATTTCATAACTCTGCTTTTCTTCAGTGGAAATTCTTCCTTCCCGCCTTCTGAATCCCCAGAACGCGAAAGAAAGCCCAACCTTCCTAAAATCAAATTAAAGTCTCCAGCAAATCCAAAACCTTAATGTGCCTGAAAGAAAACACAGCAACTGACAATCGGATTTGGACAGTCAAACACCCAACAGAGAAGGAAATCAGCCTTCAGTTTCTCTGACCCATGCTTAGACTTAGGACGCGAATTAGGATCCGATTTTCCCTTGCTACATGAGGCGGTTGTTAAATGAGTTGCTGCCAGTGGTGGGATTCAAATAGGTGAAGAACCAGTTCTCTGCGTGGATGCCGCTTCCGGATGTCCGTTCTGGGCCTGGGCCACAAAAAATTAGCTACCAGTTTCTGCTGAACTGATGCGAACTGGCTGAATCCCACCACTGTGAGGAAGGAAGGAAGGAAGGAAGGAAGGAAGGAAGGAAGGAAGGAAGGAAGGAAGGAAGGAAGGAAGGAAGGAAGGAAGGAAGGTGTGGTGGGATTCAAATATGTCAACGACCGATTCTCTGTGTAGATGCCACTTCCGGAAGTCCATTTTGGGCCTGGGCCACAAAAAATTAGCTACCACTTCTGTTGAACTGTGCGAACTGGCTGAATCTCACCACAGTGAGGAAGGAAAGGAAGGAAGGAAGGAAGGAAGGAAGGAAGGAAGGAAGGAAGGAAGGAAGGAAGGAAGGAAGGAAGGAAGGAAGGAAGGAAGGAAGGTGTGGTGGGATTCAAATATGTCAACGACCGGTTCTCTGTGTAGATGCCACTTCCGGAAGTCCATTCTGGGCTGGGCAACAAAAAAATTAGCTACCGGTTCTGCTGAACTGGTGCGAACTGGCTGAATCCCACCACTGGTTTTGCCCCATCTTACAAGCTTTCTGCAAGTTGTTGAGTGAATCGCAGAGTCGTTAAGCGAGTCCGGCTTCCCCCATGGTCAGGGAGGAAGGAGGAGGAGGAGGAGGAGGAGGAGGAGGAGGAGGAGGAGGAGGAGGAGGAGGAAGATGACTGTGGGGTCCTTGGTGCTCTCTGAGCATGGCCATTTTCTGGCAGACGTTTCATGACCCAACTAGGTAACATCATCAGTGCTAGGAGGGAGTGGGGCTTGTGGAGAGGAGGGGGAAGCAGGGGAGGGGGGGATTCTCGTATTCTGTAATGGTCTCCTGCTGGAGCAGGCGGTTGGACTAGAAGACCTCCAAGGTCCCTTCTAGTTCTGTTCTTCTCTTATAGTATCCTCATTAAAAAAAGACCCTATCCATAATAATAAAAAACCTTTTCTGATTCCAGCACAGGATGATATGAGTACACAGAGCCATCCTAAAGATGGCAGGCAGGTCAGCCATATTTGATTTTCCTCAGAGAAACCTCACAAAGAGCCTTTTCTGCTTCCTCTGTCTCGACAGGAGAATTCGGCTCGGTTATGGAAGGTCAACTCAGCCAAGATGGCGCCGTCTTTAAAGTTGCGGTCAAGACAATGAAGAGTAAGTAACCATAAGAAGAAAAAAATATATCCTTTTTTTTTGGCGGGAGATTTAGAGCTGCCTCAACCCCAATAAACTGAGAGAGCACAACTTTCCTGAAGGAATGCCACTCTGCATATACCCAGAGGTTCCCTTTCCTTTTCCTCAGTGTTAAGTGTCTTAAGGGTGTGTGTTGTGAGTCCCCTCTCCTAAGAGGAGATACATCTGGCGGGACCCAGAAGAAGGGCCTTCTCGCTGGTGGCTCCCTCCCTTTCGAACATCACACAGAGATTAGAGTGGACCCCCCCACTTTGACACTCTTTCATGAGGCCCTGAAAAACCTGGTTTTGCCAACAGGCCTGGGGACACCAGGGTGGCTGGGACTCCTTCAAGTGGCCTGTTTGATAGTTGTCACCAGTGGGGTGGGTTGGGGTTATTGTTTTTACTGTTTTTATCCTTTTTATACTGGGTAAATATTTTTTTTAATTTTAATTTGTATTGTTATTGTAAGCTGCCCAGAGTCATTAGGAGTGAATGGTGGCCATATAAATCCTCAAATAAATAAATTTGATGTCTGTCGTTGAACAGCAAGTTTCATTCCCAGAAATCCCTGAGCAAGGATTAATGCTTCCGAAGCATTAATTTCTCTCTTCTCTCGGCAGTTGCCATATGCACCCGGAGCGAGATGGAGGACTTCCTCAGTGAGGCCGTTTGTATGAAGGACTTTGACCATCCCAACGTCATGAAACTGATCGGTGAGGGACAAGGAGGTCTCTTCTTCTATGCCTGGCTTCTTGCAGACATGTAGAGCATCCATGGTCTCCTCCTTCTAGCCCAGAGAGCAGTCAACAAGGCCAACCATAGAGAGTGGTCAACAAGACCAACCATACAGAGTGGTCAACAAGGCCAATCATAGAGAGTGGTCAACAAGGCCAATCATAGAGAGTGGTCAACTAGGCCAACCATAGAGAGAGGGGAAGAAGGCCAATCATAGAGAGTGGTCAACAAGGCCAATCACAGAGAGAGGTCAACAAGACCAACCATAGAGAGTGGTCAACAAGGCCAATCATAGAGAGTGGTCAACAAGGCCAATCATAGAGAGTGGTCAACAAGGCCAATCATAGAGAGTGGTCAACTAGGCCAACCATAGAGAGCGGTCAACAAGACCAACCATAGAGAGTGGTCAACAAGGCCAATCATAGAGAGTGGTCAACAAGGCCAATCATAGAGAGTGGTCAACAAGGCCAATCATAGAGAGTGGTCAACTAGGCCAACCATAGAGAGCGGTCAACAAGACCAACCATAGAGAGTGGTCAACAAGGCCAATCATAGAGAGTGGTCAACAAGGCCAATCATAGAGAGTGGTCAACAAGACCAATCATAGAGAGTGATCAACTAGGCCAACCATAGAGAGAGGGGAAGAAGGCCAATCATAGAGAGTGGTCAACAAGGCCAATCATAGAGAGCGGTCAACAAGGCCAATCACAGAGCGGTCATAGAGACCAATCATAATGGTCAACAAGGCCAATCATAGAGAATGGTCAACAAGGCCAATCATAGAGAATGGTCAACTAGGCCAACCATAGAGAGGTGAAGAAGGCCAATCATAGAGAGTGGTCAACAAGGCCAATCATAGAGAGTGGTCAACAAGGCCAATCATAGAGAGCGGTCAACTAGGCCAACCAAAGAGAGGTCAACAAGGCCAACCATAGAGAGTGGTCAACAAGGCCAATCTTAGTCAAAAAGGCCAACCACAGAGAGCGGCCAACAATTCCAATATAGAGAGTGGTCAAGGCGGCCACCTTGAGCATGCCAGGTTACCTACTCCTTTCCGTATGGCCTGCCTCCCTCTCCTTCTGTGCACTTCCTCCTCTTATTAAATCTCCAGACTGAGATTGACATCCAATCGTGTGCAGATTTACAATTTCCGGCCTGGAGGGGGGAGGGGCAGGTGGCCCGGCCTGGAGAGACCTGCGGAGTGCACCTTTGCTCATTCCATCTGGGGCAAACTTTTTTTCAGCTGGAGCCTGGGAAAAAAAATGACGGAAAAGAAAGGAAACAGTGCTTGGGCTTTGGGGGGAGGGAGAGAGGGCTGGGGAAAGCAGAAAGGACAGATTGTCCCCTGGGGGGGATGAAGCTGTGAGCTAGAGCGAAGAGAGAACATTACTTGGGAAAACAGATGTTGGCAAGATTGTCGGATGGGGCTGACAGACGGGTGGGCGGAAGCTCAGCTAATGCAATTCAAGCTTGCTTTGCGTTTGCGGGACCTTCTCACTCAGTTCCCCCCCCCCCTCTTCTTCCCTGTCCCTTTTTCCTGCCCTCTGGTTCCTATTAAAGAGGAACACGGTCAAAATAACATACGGGCTTGGTAAGGCCACACTTAGAATACGGCATCCAGTTTTGGTCGCCACGATGTAAAAAAGATGTTGAGACTCCAGAAAGAGTGCAGAGAAGAGCAACAAAGATGATTAGGGGACTTGAAGCTAAAACATGCAGGAATTGGGTGTGTCCAGTTTAATGAAAAGGACTAGAGGTGACATGATAACAGTGTTCCGATATCTAAGGGGCTCCACAAAGAAGAGGCAAGTTTGTAAACCACAATACCTGGTCTTCCAGAGTCAGACTACTATGAAATCTGGGGAACTTTTTATGATTGGCTGAAAAGAGAATACGGTTAAAAGATAGTTAACATCAATTTAGATGGAAGAAGAAGGAGCAGATAAGGAGGGAGACCCAGGCGACGCAGTATTGAATAACTGGTGGTTGTATAAGTGTTTATAGAAGTATATACCGAGAAGGTTAGAGAAATAGAAGTATTAATCTTATTGTATATAATACAGATAGGGAAATTTGGAGAGTGGAGTTGCTCGGACATTACCCCTGAATTGTATCTGAAGAGGGATGAAGAAAGGAGAGGAGAGAGAAAAGAGTAAAGGAGGGGAGAAGGAAGTAGGAAGGTTGGAGGAGAAGAGGAGAAGTAGGGAGAAAGGGGAGGAGAGTGGTGAAGGAGAGGAGAGGAAGAAGAGGGAAGTAGGGAAGAGAAGAAAGGGAGAAAGAAGGAAGAGAAGAAGGATACGTGAAAGGGGAAATGGGCGAGCAACACCAAAAGTCATGTGTATGTATTTATTTCATTTTATTAAAAGTATCTTGTATATGAGTGTTAAAAGAATGTATGTTACCATCTGATAAATATTACGGTATATGTATGGGGGAGAGTTTGGAAAAATAAAAAATTATTTAAAAAAAAAAAACCCTGGTCTCCCACAGCATGCTAAATACAAGTGAACAAACTGCCGTGTGGTTTAGCGAGAAGGAAGCCAAATCCCTCAAAGGAAAGCCACACTTTCTTTTGATCAAGGAGAATACTTGCGGCTCAAGGTTGAACTGTGGGGTCCCTGATGCTCTCTGAGCTTGGTGGTTTTCTTGCAGACATTTCATCACCCAACTAGGCAACGTCATCAATGCTCAGTGAGGTTACCTAGTTGGGATAATGAAACGTTTGCAAGAAAACAGCCAAGCTCAGAGAGCGCCAGGGACTCCACGCCTTCTTCTGTTGTAGAGAATTCACCAATGTCCTCTCTCTTTCCCGAAGGCGTCTGTCTGCAGAACACAGAAAGTGAAGGATACCCCTCCCCTGTGGTGATCTTGCCGTTCATGAAACACGGAGATCTGCATAGCTTCCTGCTCTACTCCCGGCTTGGGGAGAGTCCTGTGGTAGGTAGCAATTAGGCCCGATCCTTGATTCTTAGCCCTAACACAGTGGACTCCATTCCGAGGGGGGCTAAGTCCAAGAAGAGAGCCTAGTCCTTGTTGGGTGTCTCCTCTGATTGTGTTCTTCTTTCTTCACAGTACCTGCCCACGCAGACCCTGGTTAAGTTCATGGTGGACATTGCAAGTGGAATGGAGTACCTCAGTAGCAAGAACTTCATTCATCGCGATTTGGCGGCCCGCAACTGCATGTGAGTGTCTACAGCTGGACAACTCCAAAAAGGGGGATTTAGGAGCAGAGATCAGCCATGAGGCCCCATCGGGATCCGTTTCAGCGTTCTGCATCTCGGCACCCCCATCCAGATTTGGGGGAGCCTTTGCTGAGAATTCTGGGAGTTGAAGTCCAGAAGTTTCTTGGCTTGGGATGCACAACGATTTCAGTCATCGGAGGATATATATATACAAGCTGTTGGGAAGGCCTTGCAATCCCTTATTTAAGAGTTCAGTAGCAATGTTGCTGCATGTCAGCCCTTCATGGTGACTAGACTAGGAAACGAAAGGCCTGCACGTAAATGCTATTTTTGTTATAAGGTTGTTATTTTCTTTTTCTTTGGTTTGTTTCTTTATGATTTTTGTAAATAACTCTGGGGGGGACAGGCATACTCCTTTCTCCTCCCATTTTCTTCAGAAAAACAACCCTGTGGGGTGGGGTGGAAGAGAAGGACTGGCCTAAGTCACCCATCTGGCTTTCATGGCTAAGGCGAGATTAGAACTCACCATCTCCTGGTGATGGGCCCAAAAGTACCCAATGGGTTTTCATGCCTAAACGAGGACTAGAACTCACCGTCTCCTAGTGATTGACCCAAAGGTACCCAATGGGTTTTCATGCCTAAACCAGGACTAGAACTCACCGTCTCCTGGTGATTGGTCCAAAAGTACCCACTGGGTTTTCATGCCTAAATCAAGACTAGAACTCACCGCCTCCTGGTGATTGGCCCAAAGGTACCCAATGGGTTTTCATGCCTAAACCAGGACTAGAACTCACCGTCTCCTGGTGATTGGTCCAAAAGTACCCACTGGGTTTTCATGCCTAAATCAGGACTAGAACTCACCACCTCCTGGTGATTGGCCCAAAGGTACCCAATGGGTTTTCATGCCTAAACCAGGACTAGAACTCACCGTCTCCTGGTGATTGGTCCAAAGGTACCCACTGAGTTTTCATGCCTAAACCAGGACTAGAACTCACCGTCTCCTGGTGATTGGCCCAAAGTCACCTAGCTGGCTTTCATGCCTAAAATGGGACTAGAATTCTCAGCATCTGGTAGTGGCCCAGTCATCCAGCCTGCTATTTTGCCTAAAGCAGGACTAGAACTTACAACGTCCAATGTGATTGGCTCAAGATTACCCAACTGGCTTTCATGGCTAAGGTGGGACTAGAATTCACAGTCTCCTGGTTTCTAGCCTAGTGCCTTCACCACTAGGCCCATCTGGTTCGAAACCTTGAAAGTCTGAATGCGTTTCCTCCCTTTATCTCCATGAGAACCAGCCATGGCCTTGTCTGATGCTTCCTCAGATTACGTTTCTGACCTGGGCTCAGATTTCTTTTATCTGAACATTGTCTTGCTTGCAAGGCCATTCCCTCTGCCTGTTAGACTCTCCCCCTGTCTTCACCCTCAAAGCCTTTCCTTTTGCGTTCCCTCCACAGGCTGAACGAAAGCATGACAGCCTGCGTGGCCGATTTTGGCCTCTCTAAGAAGATCTACAACGGGGATTATTACCGCCAAGGTCGTATCTCCAAGATGCCGGTGAAATGGATTGCCATCGAGAGCCTGGCAGACCGCGTTTACACTACCAAGAGCGACGTGGTGAGCCGTCTCTCTTTTCCCCTCCCTAGCCAATAAATCTGGCTGACTTTTAGTTCCCGCTGGAAACAAACCTCCATCTTTTGGGCCTTCTGGGGAAGGTCTGCACTCCACCGGGACTACAGTTTTCTTCTGCCTCCCTCATCTTTTTTCCTCTAACCCAGTGTTTCTCAACCTTGACCATTTTAAGGCATGTGGACTTCAACTCCCAGAATTCCACAGCCAGCATTGCTGGCTGTGGAATTCTGGGAGTTGAAGTCCACATGCCTTAAAATGGTCAAGGTTGAGAAACACCGCGGTCTAACCTCTCCCCTGCAGTGGTCCTTTGGAGTCACCATGTGGGAAATCGCCACACGAGGCCAGACGCCTTATCCGGGGGTGGAGAACAGTGAAATTTACGACTACCTACGTCAAGGCAACCGCCTCAAGCAGCCGATTGACTGCCTGGATAGTCTGTGAGTACTTCCGCCTCCGTTTCCCATTTTGTCAGAAAATATTATAGGCGTTCCCATTTCCTTACCCTGAGTAAGTTTGGCCAACATTGGGGAGTCAAGGGAAAAAAGAACATTTGTGGCACCTTTGGTGGTCTCAGCTATTTTCCTGCACACATTTCATGACCTCATCAGCGAAGGGAGTGGGGTTGGCTCTCTATTTTGAAGTCCACAAATCTTAAAGTTGCCATGTTCGGAGACCCCTGCTGTAGAGTCTCAGAAGGATCTATTCTCTAGAACAGTGGTTCTCAACCTTTTTAATGCCGCAACCCCCAACCGGTTGTAAGTCGAAGACTACTCAACTGGTACAGCACCGTTTGCAGAATGGGACTTTTGGCGGGCTCATCAGGGCAGAGACAGCCTGGACAATTCCTATTGGCTTTTGAAAGCCAATAGAATTAGACTCTATTCAAGAGAGTCTATTCTGTTGGCTTTCAAAAGCCAATAGAATAAAAGGGAGGAGCACAGCTAAGGAAAAGGAGGGAAAAAATGGCGGACTGCGCTGTTTGGCGACCCCCGTGAAATGGTCGTTCGACCCCAAACGGGGTCCCGACCCACAGGTTGAGAACCACTGCTCTAGAAACAACTTCTTCATCATCATCTTTTTATTCCCCCCCCCTACCACCAAGGTATGAGCTGATGATGAGCTGTTGGGCGCTGAACCCCCGCGACCGTCCCACTTTTGAAATCCTCTCTCAGGAGCTGGAGAAGACCCTCAAGTCCCTCCCCCCGCCCAAAGACCCTGAGGAGATCCTATACGTCAACATGGACGACGGGGTGGCTCCCGCCGAGGCGGAGCTGGGGGCCGTCGGAGGCTTGGGCCCCGAGGAAGCCCTGGCCAAAGAGAGCCAGCTGCTGAAGGCCATGGTGACCTCAGCCGAGGTCCATCCCCCGCAGGCGATGGGCCGCTACGTGATGTGTCCCACTCCCCTGGAAAACAGCCGGCTCTTGACCGAGACCCTCAGCTGTGCCGCCACTGAAGAAGGCGCCTAAAAAAGAGAAGATCTGCAAGCCCCCCCCCCCAGCTGAGTGTTTGTGTAGATGTTGCAAGACACCCTACTCGTGACACCAGCCCCCCACCTGTCTGCCTCCAAGAGGGGACTTCCAAAGACAAACTTTTGAGAGACCCACAGCCATCCTTCTTCCCACAAGGAATCGCTCTCCTGATTCTGCTGAGCTTTTCCCCATGCTGAGATAACATGCGGTCCACCTCACCTGCTCATGTCACCCGGACAGAGTCATGTTCAGCTGCCCCCCCCCCCAATCCGTGGTTCTCATTTACGTCCAGCTATTTCACTGCCCCGATTCTCTGCTCATCACCATGGAGTGTATTGTGCCAGCTGGCACCAAAGGACAAATGAAGCAGAGGATCATCGCTCCAGCTCTAAACCTGAGTTTGAATGGAGTAGAGTGATTTGTTTGTTTGTTTGTTTGTTTTTCATCTGATGGACTTTTTATAGCCCAGTTGCTTCTTGAGAAACATTTCTGACACCCGGATCTGGCTCTGGGTGAACTTAATCCCAAGAGAAGCGTTCTGTGTGGGCAGCCACCGTACTTTCGGACCGCTGGTTACAGACCACACCTGGAATGCAGCATTTGGCCCATACGCTAATCTAGTTAGTTGGACTTTTAAGTTTGGCTCCGTTCTGCTCTCAAAGACCACTCCAGGATTTCCTCCACAGCTTACGGGGAGTCTTGAGAAGACCCAAGTCTTGCCAGCATTTTAGTTTAGCCATAAGTCAACCGTGCAGAAAGCGGATCTCTGGAGAGCCCTTTCAGACCGAGGATTCTGCAAAGGCAAAAGGCCTAAGAGAAGCTGGAAGGGACCTCGGAGGTCCTCTAGTCCAACCCCCTGCTCAAGCAGGAAACTCTATACCGTTTCAGACAAATGGTGGTCCAATCTTTTCTTTAAAACCTCCAGGGCCTATCCAGAGGAGGATCTCAGGATGGCTAAAATTGAGTCCCAACCCTCGCCCTTCTCTGCTGAGGGGGGGGGGGGAATGAAGAGGTTTTTTTTCTTCCTTTTTTTGCAAGGCTTTTGCAGAAACGAGAGACGGACCCCTTGCATTGACTAGGTAGGAAGTGACCCTGAGGAAAAACCCCATCTCAGTTTCTTCCTGGGAAAGTCTTTACCTTCAACAGCTGCAGGAAGATGAAAATAACCACTGGTGTGTTTTCTCCTTCACCATTTTGCTGTCTTGGGAAAAACCCAACCTGGACAATCCCGGCCAATGGTGATAATGTGACTTTCCAGCATGAATGTAGCTGATTATGTCATACCAAACCCTATTTCCCAACCGTGGCAACTCGAAGCCCTATGAATGTCAACTCCTAGAATTCCCCAGCCAGCATTGATTGACTGAGGAATTCTGGGAGCAGAAGTCCACACCTCTAAAAGTTCATTAGCATGCTGGCTGAGGAATTCTGGGAGTTGAAGTCCACACATTTTAACGCTCGCTAGCATGCTGGTTGAGGAATTCTGGGAGCTGAAATCCACACATCTTAACGCTCGCTAGCATGCTGGCTGGGGAATTCTGGGAGCTGAAGTCCACACATCTTAACGCTCGCTAGCATGCTGGCTGGGGAATTCTGGGAGCTGAAGTCCACACATCTTAAAGCTAGCTAGCCTGCCAGCTGAGGAATTCTGGGAGCTGAAATCCACATATCTTAACGCTCGCTAGCATGCTGGCTGGGGAATTCTGGGAGCTGAAATCCACACATCTTAAAGCTCGCTAGCATGCTGGCTGGGGAATTCTGGGAGCTGAAGTCCACACATTTCAATGGTGCCAAGGCTGAGAAATCCTGCCCTGCAATGGGGGCTGTTCTTTATCCCTGTTGTGAGGAAACACAACATTTATGAGCAAATGGTGTGGGCAGCCACTGTATTTTCAGACTGCTGGTTCCAGACCAGACCTGGAACGCAGCATTTGGCCCACATGCTAATCTAGTTAGTTTGAACTTTAGTTTGTCTGTTTGAAGTGGGGGTGATCCTTGATTTGCAACTCCCAAGCCCCTTGAAACAGAAACTAACCAAATGTCTTGTGTGAACTTACAAAAAGTGATTAACTTAGTCACCGAGTTAAGGTTGCCGCAAACACAGCTGGGTGCACCCAGTCCTGACTTTAGTTATAGCAACTCCAGTCTCAGAGCCTATCTGGAGAATAATATAAAGGGGTGCAGTCTGGGGGGGGGTTACTAAGAGCAAAAATAGGGGGTTGACATCCCACCCCTCTAATTTTATGTTACTCAGCAGATCCATTTTTCAAGGCGAGACTTGCAGCCATGATTTCCACGTTGAGTTTCAACCTGGGACAAGCAGACAGAATTGTGCAATACCAGTTCCCCATTGAATCATATTTTCAGGGACTTCATTTCAGCTTCAAAATCATATTTTCCATTCTACTTGCCAGTTATGTATTGATGCAAACTCGTCTCCTTTGGGGGAATCTGTAAGGAATGACTAGATTGGAGAAAGGAGATGTTTCTGCCAGTCTAAAGCAGGGCTGTCCAATCATGGCCATTTAAAAATTTGTGGACTTCAACTCCCAGAATTCCCCACCCAGCAAGGCTGGCTGGGGAATTCTGGGAGTTGAAGTCCATAGGTCTTAAAGTGGCCACGGTTGGACATCTCTGGGTCTATAATATGTTCCACTTAGTTTATTTCAGGGACATGCCTGCTGGGTCAAAAAAGTCAAGATGGCTGCTGCAAAAGCCCTGTCTAAGCCCCACCCCTTTTTGATACGCAACTCACCTCTTTACTTTTTGACATTCCTTGCACCTGGTGTGTTATTTGACTTTACCTGCTATTACATTAAGATTACAGTCTATTGAGCTGACGTGCACACAGCCCAGTGAATTATCTTCCTTTAGATTCTTATTAATGATTTATATATATATAAATATATAAATGTATATACTTTTTAAAGAAAAAAATGCTGTATATGAAATGTTTTTTCCACTCATTACTTTTGTAAAAACGCATTTTCCACTCAGGTCTGTTTTTAGAGAATGCTCTGTGGTATATTTTGCTTATAAATAAAAACTTTCTTTTTAAAAAAAACAACAGACAAAAATCTGGTCCTGAAGTTTTAATTTCTCAGAGGAAGTTAGGAAGTTGGGGGGGGGGGAAAGAGGGCTTGAAACATGGAACAGCTAAGTCCTCGACTTATGATTGCAATCAGGCTAGAATAGAGTAGAATAGAATAGAATAGAATAGAATAGAATAGAATAGAATAGAATAGAATAGAATAGAATAGGAAATACAGAATAGAATAGAATAGGAAATACAGAATAGAACAGAATACGTTAAGGGACCTTGGAGGTCCAACCCCTGCTCAGGCAGGAGACCCTATACCATTTCAAACAAATGGTTGTCCAATCTCTTCTTAAAAACCACAGTGATGGAGCCCCCACAACTTCTGGAATCAAATCATTCCACTGGTTGATTGTTCTCACTGCCACGAAATTTCTCCTTAGTTCTAAGTTGCTTCTCTCCTTGATTCTTTTCCATCCTTTGTTTCTTATTTTGCCTTTTGGTGCTTTGGAAAATAGTTTCTCACACACACACACACACACACACACACACACACACACCTTTGTAGAATCCCCTCAAATATTGGAACACTACTATCATGTTGCCCCTAGTCCAGTGGTGGCGAACCTATGGCACGGGTGCCAGAGGCGGCACTCAGAGCCCTCTCTGTGGGCACGCATGCCGTCACCCCAGTCCTAGGCTTTCAGCTGGGTTTTATAAAACGTTTTCACTTTAGGCTTCCACCGCTGTGTACAAAAAAAAAAAAAAAAAAAGGTTCAATCAATCAGTCAATTTCAACTTCTCAAGCGGAAAAAAAAAGATCTTGCAAAGTTGGAATTGATTGATTGAACTTTTTAGTCCCACCCAGTCTGCCGTTACCACTGCAGCCATGCCCACCCAATGTGTCACACCCACCCAATGGGCCACACCCACCCGGCATCCGACGATGCATAATTGGGTTTTGGGTTGCAGTTTGGGCACTCGGTCTCTAAAAGGTTTGCCATCACTGTCCTAGTCCTTCTCTTTGTTAGACTGGACATACCCAGTTCCCTCAACCGTTCATCATACAGTTTAGCCTCCAGACCCCTGATCATCTTCGTTGCTCTTCTCTGCACTCTTTCTAGGATCTCGGCATCTCTGTTGGTAGCTGAGTTAGGGAACTTTGCTTATACTTAAAAATGCAATGAGTATTGGAAGACGGGGGGGGGGGGAATAATCCCTTGTTTTCCCTCTCCAGTTGCCAGGCAAAACCACCATCAATAGGCACATTCAAGACCGCTTCCTAGAACCATTGTTGAATCAAGCCATGCAAGTAACAGAGAAACAAGACAGTCTATTTACCACCGGGAACACTCGTCTCCCCAAACACATTCCTCTTAATCAGGGTTGAACTCTTTTCTGATTAGCCCCAGAGTCCTTAAACGGGGCATTCCACTTTCTCAGACTGTCCATGGAGAAATAAGATGAGTGGAAAACTGACACTAAAATGGGAGAAAGTGAATACATACGGAATAAAGAAATGGGGAAACGGAGTTTATTTGTGTTAGATAAATCTCTGTTTCAGTTGGGGGTGTCTGCAGGCCTGGTCAAAAAAGTCAACATGGTGGCTAAGACACAAATTCCAATCCTTCATTTGAAGGACAAGAAATGGGTCCCAACCCAATTTGGTTGATTGATTGATTAGGTGCCATCAAGTTGGTGTTAACATTTAGTGATCAAATAGATTAGGGGTCTCCAAACTTGGGAACTTTTAAGACTTGTAGACTTCAACTCCCAAAATTGCTCAGCCAGCCATGCTGGCTGAGGAATTCTGGGAGTTGAAGTCCACAAGTCTTAAAGTTGTGAAAGTTGGAGATCCACACACAGAAAGATTTTCTGCAAGAAGATTTGTTCTCAGCCTGGTCTTTTAGGGTGCAAATAAAGTCTATCCATCTTGCAGCTCATGGTTTCTTTCCAATTTCCCCAGAACTGCAGAATTTTTAAAAGAGCTGGATCTTTGGATAGTACGCTCAAAATAAGGAGCCGTAAAGAGCTTCAATTACTCTGAAAAAAGTTTAGCCTGTAGAGGACAAAAAAATCAGATTGGAAATATCTCATTGCTGGTCTGGCTGTTACAATGCTACCCTCTGGCGGTTACATCTCTGCACTGTGTAGAAATGCTTAATTTCAATGTTTCTCAACCTTGAGCAATTTTAAGAAGTATGGACTTCAACTCCCAGAATTCCCCAGCCAGATAGCCTGGGAGTTGACGTCCATAGCTATTAAGGCTGAGATTTGTTGTTAATTGCGAAGTTGTGTCCGACCCATCGTGACCCCATGGACAACGTTCCTCCAGGCTTTCCTGTCCTCTACCATCTTCTGGAGTCCATTGAAGCTCACGCCTCCTGCTTCAGTGACTCCATCCAGCCACCTCATTCTCTGTCATCCCCTTCTTCTATTGCCTAAATTTCTATTGCTCTAAAATTCACCGTCTTCCTAAATGTACACCTCTAATGTGTTGAGACCACAGTTCCCAGAATTCCCAGCCAGCATGGTCCTGGTTCTTAAAGTGATGTATCAACTAGCATCATCCTCACCACATCTTTTGCTAAGCACGTCAACTAGCAAGCTGTGGTTTATTGATAAAACATGGTTTACTTCAATGCCTAAATCTGAACCCAGACTAGCCAAAGTGACTCTATGTTTAAAATCCATGTTATTCAGTAGGTAAAATAAGCTCTACAAGGTATTTAATTTTGACTAGCTTATGCTCAATTTGGAGGCAATATTGCTTTTACAGTTGCTTAATTAAAGAGAAATGCAGGTTATATATGATATAAAACATTAATATAAGTTTGTGTAGTATATATTTTAATATATAACATTTAAATGTTATATAACCTTATAGAGCTATAAACCTAAAGAGGTATTTGGGGGGGGGAACCTTTCGTTTTGGCTTTGAGTCAAATTTTCCTAATTTGTTTTTCTCCAGATGTGTTGGACTTCAACTCCCATCATCCCCAGGGAGGGAGGAGACCAAATTAGGGGAGTTTACGCAAGGCTCAGCCAATAAAAAAGAAGGAGGGATCCCTCCACATAACAGTCCAAACAAGCCCGCATTTCAGCCAATGAGAAGTGAGGAAGGGAGAGGCCTCGGGATTCGCCTTCAGCAACTTAAGTCCAGCCCCCTCCTTCGTCAGTCAGTTGTTTTTCCCCTCTCCTTTCCCTGACCAGTTTCAGAGAAAGTGAAGGCGGGGAGGAAACGAGCCCTTCTCAGCCAATGAGAATGCTCCTTATAGATTGACCTTTATTTTTGTCCAACGCGCGAGCTCCTTTTACAGGCAGGGAATGAGCGGGAGACGGAGGGAGCGAGAGGAGGGGGGCGAAGGCAGGGGAGGCTTTGTCCAATCGGAGAGCGCCTCTTATTCCTCGCCCGCCGGCTCGGCCAACCGGAGGGCCCGTTGCATGGCGGGGCTTCTGCGAGGGCGGCCATTTTGAGTCGAGCCCGGAACGGCGCCCCGATGGCCGGGCAACCGCGATCCTGCGGCCGGGACTGAGCGCGCCATGGATGTGCGGAGACTGCGCGTCAGCGAGCTGAAGGAGGAGCTCGGCCGCCGCGGCCTCGACACCCGCGGGCTCAAGGCCGAGCTGGCCGGGCGGCTGCACGCGGCGCTAGACGCCGAGCAGGCCCGCGGGGAGCCCGGACTGGACTCGGGCGGAGAGTCGCTCTCGGACGGACACTGTAAGCGGGCCGGGCGGGGGAAGGAGGCGGCGGCCGCGGCGGCCCTCGCTGGGGAGCATGGGTCTCAAGGCCGGGGAGCATGGGCCCCGCCTTGCCGGGGAGCGCGGACCTGTGAGGAGACACCGCGGGCCGGGGAGGATGGGTCTCCGGGGCGGAGGTTGGGGTGGCCGGGGAACATGGTCTGTGGAGAGGATGGGTCTCCAGGGCGGAGGTTGGGGTGGCCGGGGAACATGGTCTGTGGGGAGGATGGGTCTCCGGGGCGGAGGTTAGGGTGGCCGGGGAACATGGTCTGTGGGAAGGCGCGCTCCCTGGCTGGGGAGGATGGGTGGCCGGGGAGCCTGAGCCATACGAGGCAGAGGGTCACTGGGGAGGATGGGCCCGGGAGGAGGCATCTCTGGCTGGGGAGGATGGGTCTCCACGGGGGACGTTAAGGCGCGGGGAGATGGGTTCTCGGTCGTTGGGGAGGATGGGTCTGTGCAGGAGCCTCTGGCCGGGGAGCATGGGCCGTGCGCGGGAACCGCTCGCTGGGGAACATGAGGTTGTGAGGAGACGGGGCGGGGGAGGGAATAGGATGGCCGGGGAGTATGGTCAGTGAGGACCCCCCCACGCTGTGCAGGATGGGCCTCCGGGGAGCATGGGCCGTACGACGCAGGCTCTCGCTGGGGAACATGGGTGGGTGATGAGTGGAGGGGGTGGAGGGCTCCCCCTCGCTGGGCAGGATGGGTCTCGGGGAGCGTAAGGCTGGGGAGGATGGGCCCCACGGTAGGCAGGCAGCCCCTCGCTGATCTGTGAGAAGACGCCCCCTCGTTGCGGAGCATGGGCTCCTATGGCGGCGGCTCTGAAGTGGCCCCAGCCGGCCGGCCGGCCGCGGAGGAGGCGCCCGGGATCCTCCGGCCCGCCCGACGAGGGTCGGGCGCCGCTTCCTCCAACGCGCCGACCGGCCTTCCTGGAGCCCCAAAGGGAACTTCCCCCCCCCCTCCAAAAAAAGGCTGCTGGACTTGAGTTTTTCCCCATCCAAGAAGCTTCCTCGGTTGAACTGAAAAAACGAGGAAGCGGAAACATCTTCAAGGAAAAACAAGAAAGTCCAGTTGTGTGTGTGTCTGTGTGTTTGTTTATTTATTTATTTATTTGGAACATTTATGCTGCTGCCTACTCGCATGCAGCGACTCAAGGCGGCTTGCACAGATATAAAAACACCCTATTAAAAAAAAATAGCAAGGAGAAAAATAATGATCACCCACCCACCCATTCAAACTAGCCATTTGATGGGCTCCATCCCGCTCTGGGTTCCCTAAGACCGCTGGCAGACCCAGGTCTTCAGCGCCTTCCGGAAGAGTGTCAGAGAGGGAGGGGGCGGTTTAATCTCGGGGGGGGGGAGGATGTTCCAGGGAGAGGGAGCCACCATGGAGAAGGCCCTTCTTCTGGGTCCCGCCAGACTTATCTCCTTAAGGAATGGGGCCGCAATATTCCTTGCCTTTTGGGGGGAGGGGGGAAGCACCTTTGGAACAACTGTGACCTGGACAGCTGAGAATCTCCATAGACCAGAGGTCCCCAACCTTTTGGGCACCAGGGACCGGTTCCATGGAGAGAGGTTTTTCTACGGACCGGAGGGCGGGTGGTTTTGTGTGCTAACTACATCCCACGGATGGGGCTTTGCTTGTTTGTGCAGTCCAGTTGCCGGCATGCTGTGGCCTGGTACTGGTCCACGGACTGGGGGTTGGGGACCCTTGCTATAGACCTTCCACTTTGGGGGCTTCTCAGCCCGGAGGCCTGTGGGCGATCCACGCTGCCCCTTGGGAAAAGACCCAGGCTTTTCTGACTTCCCAAAGTGCAAGGTGTTGTTTTTATGGCATCTGGGCATTTGTTTTCCCTGATGCTGCCCTTTGTTGCCAAGTGACTCCTGTCTTGAGTGCCTGTGATCCTTAAGGGAAGCTTCAGCACAGCTGCTTCTTGGAGGGCCAGAGAAGGGACCCACCAGATCTCCAAATAGCACCTAGCATGCCCTGAACAGTGGGTATAAAGAAAGCGCAGTTGATAACCACCTAGAATTCCAGCCATTTTAGCAATCTTGGATCCACTTATTCTTATTCTGTTCCTTCTGTTTATTCTTAATTGCTCTCTGAATCTCTTGGACCTTACAAAATCGACCACAGATTTCCATCTTAGGTGTATCATATTGTCAGGCACTTTTTTCCATATATCTTTACCGCAGTTGGGTTTGTCTAGTCTAGTCTGCCTAGTCGTCTGAAAAGAAGGACTAGGGGGGGTGACATGATAGCAGTGTTCCGATATTTGAGGGGCTGCCCCAAAGAAGAGGGGGTCAACCTAATGTCCAAAGCCCCTGAAGGCAAAACAAGAAGCAATGGATGGAAACTAATCAAGGAGAGCCCCAACCTAGAACTAAGGAGAAATTTCCTGATAGTGAGAACAATGAACCAGTGGAACAACCTGCCTCCAGAAGTTGTAAGTGCTCCATTACTGGAGGCTCTTAAGAAGAGATTGGACAGCCATTTGTCTGGAGTGACATAGGGTCTCCTGCAGGGAATTGGACTAGAAGACCTCCAAAGTCCCTTCCAATTCCTGTTATTTCTTTGGTTAACATATAGATATCACAACAAGATATAATATTACTCCAGCTGAGGTCAAACAAAATGGATAACTGTACCAAATCTAAGAGGGGAGCTTTCTACCTGTGATTTGCTTTGGGCTCAAAATACAGGGCTTTTTTTTCTACATGTTTTGTGCTATGCGGAGGACATGCTGCACCCTCTGGCTTCCTGTGTTGTTTAGCCTTGGCATTCAGCCTTGCCGTAATCAGGCAGCGAACCCTCTCCTTAGCAGCACTATTTTGATCCTCCCCTGGGGTGGGAGTCGTATTCAGAGAAAAACAGCACAGAATAACCTCCTCTATGGCATTTCAGTTTGCTTCACGATAACAAGTGGCTTTTCAGGATGGGGCATTATTCTCACACAACACCCTGCCATTTCTCTTCCCCCTCTGCATCTTGAATGGTGGGTACTCCAGAAAAAAGATTCAGCCTCTTAATGGCGCTGAGGGTATAACTGATCTGCAGCCATCCAGGTAAGGGTGGGCTGGCTGGCTGGGGTGGCCACAGCCTCCATGTAGCCCAACCGCTTTCTGACGGTGCAAGGAAAACCAAGGTATTTGGTTCTCCCCCCCCCCAAAAAAAAGTAGCATGAACAGTGACGCTGATCTGCCTTCTTTTGATTCCTGTTTTCAAGATGGCATCCGTGACAACACTCGCCAAGACAACCGGCAAGGATATCAGTCTTTCGAGCATTTCAATGTTAAACAGGAGAACGAATTGGGTTACGAGCGGGGAGCTGTAAGCCAAGATCGATCAGGTAAAAAACGAGTGTCGGAAAAAGAGCCTTTGTTGTTTTGTTGAGCGGAGAGCATTCCCAAAGTTTGGGGAGGCAGTTTTTGAATAGCCCCGCTGAGGCGCCTCAGTTATTTTTTGCATTAAAAAACTTTGGAGGTAGGGTATGTGGAGGGATGATTTTTTTACTGGATAAACCAGGGGTAGGCAACGTTGGCTCTTTTATGACTGGTGGACTTCAACTCCCAGAATTCCTGAGCCAGCATGGGGGAACTATGGCCCCCTCATGACTCGTGGACTTCAACTCCCAGAATTCCTGAGCCAGCATGGCTCACCATGGAAACCTCTCCCTTTCCCCTCAGCATGGCTGGCTCAGGAATTCTGGGAGTTGAAGTCCACCAGTCATAAAAGAGCCAAGGTTGCCTACCCCTGGGATAAATGTTCCAAAATGTAATACAGGCCGTCCTCGATTTACAGCAGTTCATTTAGTGACTGTTCGAAGTTAACGGCGCTGAAAAAAATGACTGTCCGTTTTTCACACTTAACAACCATTACAACCTCCTGTGATCCAACTGATAACTGACTCATTTATGAAGGTTGTAAGTCAAGGACTAGCTATGTGTAAAAGATTTGCATATCGTTGAATGATAAGAGTTCTTGTTTTTTCCACGAAGGGAATCTGTTAATTCATTTTATTATTTTTTATTTTATTATTATTATTTATTTTCGCTTTGTTCTATATACATAAAGGAAAATGTCAAGTGGATTTTTCTTCTGTTTGTTGTGGATTTGTAGCTTCTCCCTTTTTAAAAAAGCACAAGTAAGGTGAAGAACACACCTTGTTTTCTTTCGGCTCCACTTGGGATCACTGCCCTAATTGATTATTACATTGTTCCCCTTAGAATTCTCCGCCTGAATATCCCTCTCCTTGTTATCTTAATCATATCTCTGTGTTATTCTAATAGAATCCGCACATCGTAAGAGCAGGAGCAAGAAAATTGTGGGGAATTAAAATAGGTACTTCAGTGGTTTTGGTTCTGGCACATAAATCCGGTCGATAATGAGAACATTTCCTTGCAAGTTTTATTGCTGATGGTCTCTGCTCTGATTCTTAACTGTTGCCTGGCTCAAAGCCAAGTCATTTGGTAGTAAAATTGAAAGAGTTTTTCTCTTGTAGTTAGGGCGATTTTTGCTGGCTTTTTCAGCGTAAATAGTAGCCGTTGTTTCTTTTTCATGTGGATTGCTTAGCCCAGTTAAACATGCCTATTGTGTTTAAATGCAGAAATGAAGACAGAAATAAAACAGGAGGAGTCAGCTCCCAGCCACAGCATATCAGCCTCTGGTTACAACGCGCCCTCCTCCATTTCTGGCTACAATGCCTCGTCTTCCTCTTACAATGAGCCCCCCTCTGCTTATAACACCTCAGACTCATATCAGCCGTGGCAGCAGCAGCAGCCACCCCCGCAGCAAGGTCATAAGAGGACATTTGATGAGTCCAGAGGGCGTGGATATTACGAATATCGCGAGAATAAAAGGTACGTTCAGACAAAGATTCGGTATGTTTTTTATCTTTCCAAAACACCCTGGAGAGGAACGGAGCCCAGCGACGTCACTGAATGCAGAATTTGTTTTAAGAAGCATCTGGGATTTGGTCAAAGGCATTCTCTTCATATATTCCACAAACCTGGCAGTGCACTTGATTTTACTAAGTTGTAAAGATTGCAAGTGTTATTGGATGAAAAATGGGGCATTAAGGGTTGGCTATTTCTTAACCAATATTTAGTTTTAAACTTTAAAGTAAAATATATATTTGGCTGAAATGAACGGCTGTTTTATAACATCTTTGTAAATGCAGATTCTCATCTGATAAACTTTTTTGTTAAGGCATACATACTACTGTGTATATGTGTGTGTGTGTGTGTGTGTGTGTGTGTGTGTATATATATATATATATAGTGTGTGTGTGTGTGTGTGTGTGTGTGTGTGTGTGTGTGAAGGAGCTGTGGTGGCGCAGTGGTTAGAATGCACTGTTGCAGGCTGACTCACTGCCCACTGCCAGGAGTTTGATCCTGATGGGTTCCAGGTTGACTCGGGCTTCCATCCTTCCGAGGTTGGTAAAATGAGGACCCAGATTGTTGGGTCTGTAAACCATTTAGAGAGGGCTGTAAAGCACTGTGAAGCGATATATAAGTCTAAGTCTGCCATGTATGTATGTATGTATGTATGTATTAATAAGAATAGTGAAAATAAAAATGTGATTCCTGGGTGAATCCATAGTCAATTACCAATAAAACGTGAACACCAGTAATATAATAAACTATAAAAGTTTAATACCATCACCGATCACCAAGCTTTCGTCAGATACTTCTGACATCATCAGGGTTAATGCTGGTCTGTGGGAGAGTGCCTCCCACAGACCAGCATTAACCCTGATGATGTCAGAAGTATCTGACGAAAGCTTGGTGATCGGTGATGGTATTAAACTTTTATATTCCTGGTGTTCACGTTTTATTGGTATGTACGTATGTATATGTTTCTGTCTCTCTATCCTGCCCACCTACCTACCATAGGCATCCCCATCTCACCAAAAGAAATCTTCATGGTGTACCTGAACTACAACACCCTGCATCCCTCCCTCCCTTTTGGCCATCTTTTCTAGGGATGCTAGGAATTGTAGTCCAGACACTTAATGGAAAACTGAAGATTTCCTGTCTCTAAATCCAGGGCTGCAGTACTGGGGAAGCCGTTTTTTGACTTGGCTAGGAGCTTCCAAAGTGTTCCCAGTTGAATCAACATGGTAACAGGGGTGGGACTAGTTTCCCGGAATCGGGCACGGTGTTCCCTTTCTCAGCCTGCCTTGCAGGCCACCTCTCAGTTTGCCTAAGATGGGTTGGTGGAAGCTCCATTTCCTGCTGCGTCTCTTCCAGGGGTCGATCTCCTCAGCCACCCGCAGAAGAAGACGAGGACGATTTTGACGACTCCCTGGTGGCCATCGATACATGTGAGTTACAGAGATTGCGGTGTTGTTTTTAACTTCGCTCTAGATCAGTGATGGCGAACCTTTTAGAGACCGAGTGCCCCAAAACCGCCCCCCCCCGTCCCTGCTCCACCCTGCCCGCTGGACCACCCACCATCTCCACGGCCCATCACAGATCACCCAGGCAGCCCAGCAGCACTATGGTGGCCACGCCCTCCCCCCTGCCCCATAGCATCATCTGCGTGCAATGGGGTGTAAGGGCAGAGTCTTGTCCCCACTGCCTGGCTACCAAGTCCTTGGTTGCGCTGCTTCATATGGGCTGCGCCTGGGGGCAACTCTCCTCCAGGGGGGCTGCTGGTGAGGAGGGGGCTGTGGGAGGAGGTGGGGCTGGAACAACGGTGTGTGTGCCCACAGAGAGGGCTCCAAGTGCCGCCTCTGGCACCCGGGCCATAGTTTTGCCACCACTGTTGTAAGGCATTGATTTCTTCCCTAAAAACTACGAGGCCCCTAAGTGGGTCATTTAATAGTCGTGAGTCTATGAGAAATCTTAGCCTCACACTAAGCCATTCTATTTTGGCAAGAAAATTATTGAATAGAGGCCTGTTGTTGTTGTTTTAAGCTTGCAAAGCAGAAGTGATTTTTTTTTTCCCAGTAAGAGTTCTCCATTCCTATTCCATTTTCAGTTCTGCCTTTTTTAAATACAGCCATTGACATGCAGCTGTTTTGATACCAGAAATGAGGAGTTAGCAAATTCTTCTTGCCTATTATCCTAGCTCAGGGCTAGGCAACCGTGTCTCTTTTATGACTGGTGGACTTCAACTCCCAGAATTCCTGAGCCAGCCATGCTGAGGTTTCCAAGCTGAGCCATGCTGGCTCAGGAATTCTGGGAGTTGAAGTCCACAAGTCATAAAAGAGCCATGGTTGCCTATCCCTGGTCTAGGTTTGTGCTAACCACACAGCCCAGCTCCCTCTAGGACAGGGCTAGGCAACCTTGGCTCTTTGATGACTCGTGGACTTCAACTCCCAGAATTCCTGAGCCAGCCGCACTGAGGGGAAAGGGAGAGGTTTCCAAGCTGATCCATACTGGCTCAGGAATTCTGGGAGTTGATGTCCACCAGTCATAAAAGAGCCCAGGTTGCCCACCCCTGCCCTAGGCCTAGGCCACTTTATGACTGATGAACTTCAACTCCCAGAATTCCTGAGTCAGCCATGCTGAGGGGAAAGTGAGAGGTTTCCAAGCTGAGCCATGCTGGCTCAGGAATTCTGGGAGTTGAAGTCCACGAGTCACAAAAGAGCCAAGGTTGCCTACCCCTGGCCTAGCTTAACATCATCAGGAGAGTCATTTTCCATCACGGAAAACCTCACCGTCACACGTTGCTATGATCCGTACTGGGTGTTAGCCCACAGTTGCCTCTACGATTAAATCTCCTTTGGTTTTCATTGACAACATTTGTTTTGCTCTTCAGATAATTGTGATCTCCATTTCAAAGTTGCCCGTGATCGATACAGTGGGTACCCTCTGACCATCGAAGGATTTGCTTTTCTCTGGTCAGGCGCACGAGCGACGTACGGCGTGCGACGTGGGAGGGTGTGCTATGAGATGAAGGTGAGGGAACGTGCGTCCTCACGAGGGAGGTGCTGAGGAGATTATAGGAAGAAGAGTATCGCTAACCACCAGGGGCTTTCTTTTTGTCTTCAGATCAACGAAGAGATCTCTGTCAAACACCTTCCTCCCACCGAACCGGATCCTCACGTCGTGCGGATTGGCTGGTCACTGGATTCATGTAGCACTCAGTTAGGTGAGTAGTTTTTAATTGCTGGATCTAGGGAAGCCTCGGGGTGTGTTTTATTTATTTATTTTACATTCCACCTTTATTGTTTTTATAAACAAGTCAAGTTGGTGAACATAACTAGAACTAAGAAATTTTCTGACAATTAGAACAATTAATCACTGGAACAACCTGCCTCCAGAAGCTGTGAGTGCTCCAACATTGGAAGTTTTTAAGAAGAGACTGGACAGCCATTTGCCCGAAATGGGATAGGGCAGTGATGGCGAACCTTTTAGAGACCGAGTGCCCAAACTGCAACCCCAAACCCACTTATGTATCATTGGGTGCCGGGTGGGCATGGCCCATTGGGTGGGTGTGGCCCATTGGGTGGGTGTGGCCCATTGGCTGGGCGTGGCTTCGGTGATAATGGCAGACTGGGTGGGACTACAAAGTTCAATCAATCAATTCCAACTTTGCGAGATCTTTTTTTTTTCCTGCGAGAAGTTGAAATTGATTGATTGAATTTTTTTTTTGCACACAGCGGCGGAGGCCTAAAGCGAAAAGGTTTTATAAAACCCAGCTGAAGGCCTAGGACTGGGGCGACGGCACGCATGCCCACAGAGAGGGCTCTGCGTGCCATAGGTTCGCCGCCACGGGTATAGGGTTTCCTGCCTGAGCAGGGGGTTGGACTAGATGACCTCCAAGGTCCCTTTCTTCATCTTTGTTGCTGCTGCTATTATTATTATTATTATTATTATTATTATTATTATTATTATTATTATTATTATTTGCTTTCCCCCCTCTATTTGCTGCACAGCAACAGCCTGTTGAGATCAGTTGGGTTGAGAAAGAGTGACTGGTTCATGGTCTCCCAGCCAGCTTTCATACTATGCTGGGCTGTCTTTGCTTTTTGAGTATCTTTAGTTTAAACCGGAGCATTTGAATTAGGCAATTTCCCCGCTTAAGTGAAACCACACTGGGGATACGAAGAGTTCTCTGCCCCACGAATGCCACCTGGTCCCCCATGGCACGGCTGCTCAGGTCTCTGTTCAATTATCGTTCTTGTTAGGGGAAGAGCCTTTCTCCTATGGCTACGGAGGCACTGCAAAGAAATCCACTAATTGCAAGTTCGAAAATTACGGGGAAACCTTTACTGAGAATGACGTCATCACTTGTCTTGTGGTGAGTACGGCCTGTGGAGTTTCAGAAGCTACACCTCTAGGGTGCCGCAATGGCTCAGGGGTTAAGATGCTGGGTGTCAGCGCTGCTGACATTGGATGCTCTTGCTTTGACAACAGATGGAGATGCAGCCTTTTTCTTTCTTATACTTTACTCTTAGAATGAGACAATATTGGGGGAGGGGAAGGGATGTGATGGGAGTTAGTTAGACATACAAAAGTGTAACAAGAGCTGATAAGGAATGGTGGGAGAAAAAAACTGGGCGGAAAGCCAGCATTTCAAACTAATTGGAGAATGTGATTTATGACTGTTAGTTGTAGGAGGGAATTGTGCTTTGATACTATGTGCTGAAGGGAGGGGAAGTCAGATCTTGGCCCCAGTAAAGATTCTTTAAGGTAAACAATGCCTCAAAATTCTTTGAAGAGTTTCATCTTTCGGAACCATGACACTGGGCTTGTCAGCTGGAAAGCCAGATTTGAGACCCGAGTGCTGCTGTGCGTGATGGGTTGAACTCCGTCACTTGCCCTAGCTCACCTAGCGGTTCAAAATCATGCAAATGCGAGTAGATAAATAGGTACCATTCCGATGGGAAGGTAACAGCGCTGCATGTTTCACTGCATGCCTAGAGGAGTTGAGCAATGCCTCCTAAAGTTGGCTGTGACTCGTGGAGTAAAATTCTCGGGGTCCCCTTTACTTTCTCCTAGCACAGTGGTTCTCAACCTGTGGGTCGGGACCCCATTTGGGGTCGAACGACCATTTCACGGGGGTCGCCAAACAACGCAGTCCGCCATTTTTTCCCCCCTTTTCCTTAGCTGTGCTCCTCCCTTTTATTCTATTGGCTTTGGAAAGCCAATAGAATAGACTTTCTTGAATAGAGTCTAATTCTATTGGCTTTCCAAAGCCAATAGGAATTGTCCAGGCCGTCTCTGCCCTGCTGAGCCCGCCCAAAGTCCCATTCTGCAAACGGTGCTGCACCAGTTGAGTAGTCCTCGACTTACGACCGGTTGAGTAGTCCTCGACTTACGACCGGTTGTGGGTCGCGGCATTAAAAAGGTTGAGAACCACTGTCCTAGCAGGAAAAAGGGAGGAGTTGAAGCTTCCACCGGCCTCAAATTCCCTGCTCTAGATTGATTGGCGATTCCTTCCCTCTTCTCCTCAGGACTTTGAGTGTGGCGACAACGTGGAAATGTCCTTCATGAAGAATGGGAAATGGCTCGGGGTGGCCTATCAGCTACGGAAGGAGAATTTGGGGGGCCAGGCCCTGTTCCCTCATGTCCTGGCGAAGAACTGCGCCATCGAATTCAACTTTGGCCAAAGGGAAGACACTTTCTTTCCGATCCCTCCGGGATTCACCTTCATACAGCACCTCCCCCTGTCCGAGCGAGTTCGGGGCACCATTGGACCAAAGAACAAAAGGGATTGTGAAGTAGGTGCCCCAAAGGAGAAGCCAGCAATGGCAGGTTCTTGAGTTCAGTGGCCAGGTCCTTCTTCGCAGGTGGGGGTTGAGTGGACCAGGACTCGGACAAGAGCAGTTTTTTCCCCTCTGAAATAGTATTGCATCAACTGAGTTGAAGACTAGGCCTTAACTGCTTATAAAAAAATTCAGAGGTTAACGCCCAGATTTTCAAATTCCCAGCAGTAAAAAGGGCCAGTCAGAGACTCACAGATTCAAACACAATGACTAAGATGGTTATCGCTGACTGGATGTTAGACTGATAAAAGCTATATTATTATTATTATTATTATTATTATTATTATTATTATTATTATTATTGACAAATTCGCTATTAGTCAATTGCAAAAGGCGGCCTTACTAGGAACTGCTTCCATCCTGCGACGAGATCTGTAATACCATCAAACATCCACATCTGCCTATCCCAGGTCCTGGGTAAGGACTCGATAGGTAGACAAAATGCCAAATCCAGTCTGAACATCTGGCTGCCTGTCCGATGATCCATAATAATAATAGTAATAGTAATAATAATAATAATAATATAAAGTTGGAAGGGACCTTGGAGGTCATCTAGTCCAACCCCTTGCTCAGGCAGGAAACCCTATACCATTTTGGACAAATGGCTGTCCAGTCTCTTAAAAACTTCCAGCGTCCTCAACTTACAACCACAATTGAGCAAATTTTTTTCGTTGCTCAACAGTGGCTAAGTGAATTTTGCCCCACATTACGGCCTTTCTCGCCACAGTTAATCGTTTGCTCGTCAGAAAGTCACAAGAGGGGATCGCATGATCCTGGGACACTGGGATGAGTCCGTTGCCAAGTATCTGAGTTTTGAACATGTGACGGGGAATACTGCAACAGCCGTGTGAAAAACAATCCTAACTCACTTTTCAGTGCCGTTGTAACTTTGAACAGTCACTAAACAAACTGTTGTAAGTCGAGGACTACCTGTATATTTCAAAACAAAATATAAGGGTTAAAAATGTTGGTTTTTCTGTGCCTCTGAGGCTAGGAGATACCTGTAATCTCCTATTTCTGTGTCTGGAATGGATAGTCCCTTAGAACAGGGGTAGGCAACCTGGGCTCTTTTATGACTGGTGGACTTCAACTCCCAGAATTCCTGAGCCAGCAGGCTCACCATGGAAACCTCCCTTTCCCCTCAGCACGGCCGGCTCAGGAATTCTGGGAGTTGGAGTCCACGAGTCACAAAAGAGCCAAGGTTGCCTATCCCTAATCTAGGTCTGTCTGTCTGTCTATCATCTAGGTCAGGGATAGGCAACCTTGGCTCTTTTATGACTGGTGGACTTCAACTCCCAGAATTCCTGAGCCAGCATGGCTCAGCTTGGAAACCTCTCCCTTTCCCCTCAGCATGGCTGGCTCAGGAATTCTGGGAGTTGGAGTCCACCAGTCATAAAAGAGCCCAGGTGGCCTACCCCTGCCTTAGAAGGATGCGGTCCAGCAGAGCTGTCATTTTTCTCACTCAATTTGTGAAGGAGAGATTTGCTTTGGAAAACTGGTTGGCATTGCGTTATTGGCTTGCAGCAGCTGTTCCAACCACACCCTGTGTTTCAGATCTTGATGATGGTGGGGTTGCCTGCCGCCGGGAAGACGACGTGGGCCATTAAGCATGCCGCAGCCAATCCAGGCACGAAGTATAATATTTTGGGAACAAACGCCATTATGGACAAAATGAGGGTAAGCTTTGGAGGCAGAGAACGCCGGCTTCTCCCGTCTGCTTCCTCATTTGTGGTGGGCCCCTCTAGCTTCCTGGTGTGTCGAAACCTGAGATCAGCTCACTGTCTTTTGAAAATGACTTTTTCTGGCCAGACTTTTGCGGGACAGGCTTTCTTTTTGTAAGCGGGGCTTTTTCTATCAAAGTAAAGGAGTCCCTGTGGATTTTACTGTGGGTTTTTTACGAAGTGAAAATCAGTCCCTGCGGATTTCTACTAAGTGGAAATAGATTCACTGCAAAAAAAATGTTGAAAAATCAGGTCTGGGGTGCCCTGATGCCTCGAACCTATGACCACAATGACTTACAACTGTAATTCTAGGCTCAGTTAGAGTCGTAAGCTGAGGACTACCTGTATATGATTCTAAGAGTCTCCTGTCCTGACTCCTGTGTGAATCGCCCTGGGACCCCCAATGCCAGGAGCAAGGCCTATTTCCGGCCAGCTACTCCAGGGGGCGCTCCTGTTATGCCACCCCCACCCCCAGCTGCCCTCACCATCCTGCCTTTTCTCAGGTCATGGGACTCCGACGGCAGCGCAATTACGCCGGCCGCTGGGACGTTCTCATCCAGCAAGCGACACAGTGCCTGAACCGTCTAATCCAGATTGCAGCGCGGAAGAAGCGGAATTACATTCTGGATCAGGTATGGGGGCCCTCCTTTTTCTTCCTGGGGACAGCTGGGAGGGGGTCTGGGGCCAGATGTGTAGCAAGCTGTGCCAGCCTAGGGTAGGTGGACGTGTGCTCTGCCCCCCCTATTTTATTTATTTATTTGATAGAGATAGATAGCTAGGTAGATGATAGATAGATAGATGGATAGATGGATAAGATAGCTAGATAATGATAGATACATAGATACATAGATACATAGATACATAGCTAATGATAAGTAGATGATAGATACCTAGATAATGATAGATAGATAATGATAGATAGAAAGATAGATAGCTAATGATAAGTAGATGATAGATACCTAGATAATGATAGCTAGATAATGATAGATAAATAGATAGATAGATGATAGATACCTAGATAGATAAGATAGCTAGATAATGATAGATAGATAGATTAACTAATCAATATAGCCACTCAACCCACACATGGGTGACTGCCGTTGTGCAACTTTTATTCCAGAATCAAACCAAACCAGCAATCCTTGCTTCAAATTATACAGTAAATAAGGCATAACTGAACCAGCTTTTTTGGCTTCTTGCATCTAATAAATCTTTCTGAAGCTTAATGCCTTTCAAACATAATCCATTCAGATCAGGGTTGTCTAACCTTGACAACTTTAAGACCTGTGGACGCATGCTGCCTGGGGAATTCTGGAATTGAAGTCTACAAGTTGTCAAATTTGGACAGACACACACACACACACATATCCCCCCCCCCAATTCAGATTGTTGCAGTCAGCCTGCCTCTTTCCATTAACTCAAAGAAAAAAAAAAGCCTAGAGATGGTCTTTTAAGACAACGACATCTTTTTAAACCCCCTGCTAGTTAACTCCACTGCTTGGATGGCTCTAATATAGTGGTTCTCAACCTGTGGGTCGGGACCCCATTTGGGGTCGAACGACCATTTCACAGGGGTCACCACACAACGCAGTCCGCCATTTTTTTCCCCCTTTTCCTTAGCTGTGCTCCTCCCTTTTATTCTATTGGCTTTTGAAAGCCAGTAGAATAGACTCTCTTAAATAGAGTCTAATTCTATTGGCTTTCAAAAGCCAATAGGAATTGTCCAGGCTGTCTCTGCCCTGCTGAGCCCACCTAAAGTCCCATTCTGCAAATGGTGCTGCACCAGTGGAGTAGTCCTCGACTTACGACCGGTTGAGTAGTCCCCAACTTACGACCGGTTGGGGGTCGCGGCATTAAAAAGGTTGAGAACCACTGCTCTAATACGTAAACGGTGCACTTAAATGAATGGACTGCCGGATGTCCTGTTGCTTCTTTTGCACTTTTTCTGAGCAAAGCCACCGCTGCCCTATCAGCCTAGCCTTCTAGGGGAGGTTTCATTTGAATTGCAAAAAAGGTGCACATTACCTTCGCCTCTGGCTGTTTTTATCTTTTTAAAAATGAGAGGTTCTCTTCAAGGTTGCTTTGTTATCAGGGATGATTCTTCTTCTTCTTCTCTATCCAGAAAGGGTAGAAGAGGGAGGGAGGAATGGGGGGGGGGGCAAGGAAGCCAGAGTTTCTGTCTTTGAAATCCTTGTTCCATTGTGGGGCATCGGGTGGGGGGGGAACCTTAAATTGCTAAATAACAACCAGGTCTTCTTTTTTTAAAAAAAACCACTCTCTTCTTTATTATCGTTGCTAGACAAATGTTTATGGATCTGCTCAGAGGCGAAAAATGCGTCCTTTTGAAGGTTTCCAACGCAAAGCCATCGTCATTTGTCCCACGGACGAGGATTTAAACGACCGGACAATAAAACGCACGGACGAGGAAGGGAAGGATGTGCCTGATCACGCAGTATTAGAAATGAAAGGTAGGATGCTGGGAATAGGAAAACCAAACGTTGCATTCACGGCACGCCTGAGAAGGAGACAAGCGATCCTGACTGTGTGTGTGGGGGGGTGTAGTTCAAGGACTTTAAAAGGGATCCTTTAGGTGCTTCTAATTCCTTCTTTGTTTTCCTCCACTTCTCTCTGGGATATTTTAAGGACCCACCCACTCCCATACCTACGATGCTTTAAGTCTGCAGCTGTCTTGGTTTATTTTTATTTTATTTATTTATTTATTTGAATCCCGCCTCTGTTGTTTTTATAAATAAGTCAAGGAACATATCCAACACAGCTTCCTCCTATTTTCCCCATAACAATCCTGTGAGATGAGATGTGCTGAGAGAGCGTGACTGGCCCAATGCCACCCAGCCGGCTTTCATGCCTAAGGCAGGACTAGAACTCGCCGTCTCCTGGTGATTGGCCCAAAGGCACCCAGCCGGCTTTCATGCCCAAGGCGGGACTAGAACTCACCGTCTCTTGGTGATTGGCCCAAAGCTGGCTGAAGAATTCTGGGAGTTGAAGTCTGAAAGTTGCCAAGGTTGAGGACCCCTACCTTAAGGTGTGTTTATTTATTTATTTATTTTATTTATTAAAATTTATAAACCGCCCCACTGCCGCAGGACTCCGGGCGGCTAACAATAAAAACACAATATAACTTAACAAGACAAACAATACAGTAACATTCATCCAGGGGTCAGGTTTTATAAACCCCAGGCCTGCCGGAAAAGCCAGGTCTTCAGCAGCTTGCGGAAAACCAACAGGGTGGGAGCGGTCCTAATCTCCGGGGGGGGGGAGCTGGTTCCAAGACGTGGGCGCCATTACAGAGAAAGCCCTCCCCCGTGGCCCCGCCAAATGGCACTGCTGTTCCTCTGTTCTCTCCCCACTTGTTTTTTTTTTTTCTCCTTCCATTCTCTTTCTGCTCTTCCTGAATCCCCCGAACTCCTCCCAGGCGGTCCCGTCCCCTGTGACTCGGGTGTGTCCCCATTCCACCCCTCTTAGCGGTGACTGACCGGCATCTCGGTTTCTTTCTCGGCAGCCAACTTTTCCCTGCCGGAAGCCGGCGATTTCCTTGACGCGGTGGTTTACATCGAGATGCAGCGGGAGGAGGCAGAGAAGCTGGTGAGGCAGTACAACGACGAGGGCAAGAAAGCAGGCCCGCCCCCAGAAAAACGGTTCGACAGCTGGGGGGGCAGCGGAGGTGGCATTGGTTTCCGTGGCCGAGGTGGCGGCAGCGGAGGAGGATTTCAGCGCTTTGACAATCGAGGCCCGCCAATGGGCAGCCGGGGCGGCTTCCAGAATCGTGGCGGTGGTGGAGGAGGAGGCGGTGGAGGAGGAGGAGGAGGCTATAGAGGCAGCGGTGGAGGAGGAGGTGGCGGTGGCGGAATCGGGGTTGGTGGCAGCAGCGGAAGTGGAGGTAAGACTGGACTAATGGCCTCAGTGAGGTGAGAAAGTTGGTTGATTTAATTATACGTCCTTGACTTATGACTGGTCGCTTAGCAACTGTTGGACATTGGGATAAACCTAGCTGGGAGTCCCTTAGGTGGTGTTTCAAAGTTCAAAGTCTCCCCATGAATGGAATGCTTCCAGTATGGTTTGACTAGAACTCAGCGTCTGCTGGTGATTGGCCCAAAGTCACCCAGTGGCTTTCATGGCAAAGGCGGGACTACAACTCACCGTCTCCTGATGATTGGCCCAAAGTCACCCAGTGGCTTTCGTCCCAAAGGCAGGATTAGAACCCACCGTCTCCTGGTGATTGGCCCAAAGTCACCCAGTAGCTTTCATGGCAAAAGCAGGACTAGAACTCACCATCTTCTGGTGATTGGCCCAAAGTCAGCCAGCCAGCTTTCATGGCAAAGGCAGGACTAGAACTCACCGTGTCCTGCTTTCTAGCCCGGCGCCTTAACCACTAGACCAGACTGTCTTCTTTAGTGGAAGCTCATAACTCTGGCTTTCCCATTCAGGCTTCAACCGAGGCGGCTACAACCAAAACCGCTGGGGGAGCGGAAACCGAGACAACAACAACAACAACACCCGAGGCAGCTACAATCAGAACAACCAACAGCAGAGCAGCTACAGCCCGGCACGTGACCAGAACCCTTACAAGAGCAGTAGCTTGGCTCCTGCTGCTCCAGCCCTGAGCCCGGCCACCAACCCCCCTGCGGGGTCGTACAATCAAGGACCACAGGTAGGCTGCACCCAGGGTTCCACTCGAGATTCCGTTGGCAGAAATGCCAAAGCCCCCTTCAAGAGGGGGATAATTGAGGGATGAATCTGGGAAGGATCAGGGCAGCTGAGAAAGCACCCCAGTAGGTGGGTAAAAGGAAAGAGGAGGAATAGCCGGTTATATGTGGGCATCATGTTTGACATGTTATTGTTGTTAATTGCGAAGTCGTGTCCGACCCATTGCAGCCCCATGGACAACGTTCCTCCAGGTCTTCCTGTCCTCTACCATCTTCTGGAGTCCGTTTAAGTTCACACCTACTGCTTCAGTGACTCCATCCAGCCATCTCATTCTCTGTCGTCCCCTTCTTCTCTTGCCCTCCATCTTTCCCAGCATTAGGCCCTTCTCCAGGGAGTCCTTCCTTCTCATTAGGTGGCCAAAGTAGTTGAGTTTCCGCTTCAGGATCTGGCCTTCTAAAAAGCAGTCGGGGTTGATCTCTTCTAGGACTGACCGGTTTGAACGCCTTGCAATCCAAGGGACTCGCAGGAGTCTTCTCCAGCACCATAGTTCAAAGGCCTCAATTCTTTGACGCTCAGCGGTCCAACTTTCACAGCCATACATTGCAACTGGGAAAACCATGGCCTGGACTATACGCACTTTTGTTGGCAGGGTGATGTCTCTGCTTTTTAGTATGCTGTCTAGATTTACCATAGCTTTCCTCCCCAGGAAAGCTATCACGTTTGACATACGTGATGCCTATCAGTAGGACATCTTTCTGGTGCTCCATTCGCCTTTGGCATGACAATATGTTGCAGATTTATTTATCTATTTATCAGTACCCCACCTTTATTATTTTTACAAACTCCTCAGGGCGGTGAAGTTATCCCAACAGCTCCTCCTCCTATTTTCCCCAGTGCATCTCCTGCGAGGTGGATTGGGCCAGTCACCCAGCCGGCTTTACATACCTAAGGCGGGAGTAGAACTCACCGTCTCCTGGGGATTGGCCCAAAGCCACCCAGCCGGCTTTCATTCTTAACGCAGGATCAGAACTCACAGCCTCTCATTTTCTAGCCTGCTGTCTTAACCACTAGACCAAAACGCGGCTTTTTAAAATATTCCTTTGGGGTAAAAAAAAAAAGGGGTGTCAGTGAGGTTCAGCTTGCGGCCTCTAAATGGGATTTAGAGTGTCTGCATCTGCACACTTCAGCTTAAAGAACCAACTGTGACTTTGTCACCCACAGCAAAGTTACAACCAGCCCTACAGCCCCCCTTCCAGCTACAGCCAGGGGGGCTACAGCGCTCCCAGCTACAACTATGGAACGTACGGCAGTTACAGCCAAAGTTACACCCAGCCTCCGCCGCCTCCACCAGCGCCTACCCCGCCAGCCTACAATCAGCCCAACTACAATCAGTACCAACAAGTAAGTGTGGGAAAGCAAGACTCTCATTGTGCATTAAGTTCATGGTTTGGGACCACCCACGTATTTACGACGGTTACAGAGCCCTGGGGTCACGTGATCGCCATTTGCAGCCTTCCCATACTGGCTTCCGACAAGCGGTGTCAGTGTGGGGAAGCCGGCTTCACACCACAATCGTGTGGTTCCATTAACAACTGCAGTGATTTGCTTGGTAGCCATGCCCCCCCCCCCAAAAAAAAGTCGTGAAATCGACTATGGTTCATTTAACAACTGCCTTGCTTAGCCACAGAAATTCTCGTCCCAATTGTGGCCTACTTTAAAATCAAGGACTACTTGTAGTGTGTTATAAAAACGGAGCGGTGGTTCCATCCTCCTCCTCCTCCAGATTGATAGTTTAATGCAGGGAATATCCAACTTTGGCAACTTTTTAAAAAAAAGACTGGTGGACTTCAATTCTCAGAATTGCCCCCAGCCAGCCAGCCATGGGAATTCTGGGAGTTGAAGTCCCAGGAGTCTTTTTTCAAAAGTTGCCAGTGTTGGATATTCCCTGCATTAAACTATCAATAAATAAATCCGTTGCCCAGGTTGGGCACTTCTGGTTTAATATGTTGCACCACAAGGCAGCTGTTGAGTCTCTTGTTGGCCTTTAGCAAAGAAGGTTTTTTGTGGAGAGGAGGGACCTTAGAGGAGAGGAAACAAAACCTCAGCATCGTCTCAGATGAGTCAGCAGATGGAAATGAAGTTATTTTGGGGAGGGGGGGAGGAAATATTAGCTGTCCACTGATCTGTTTTTTCCTTCCTCCACAGTACACCCAGCAATGGAATCAGTACTATCAGAACCAGAGTCAGTGGCCCCCGTACTACGGCAACTACGACTACGGGAGCTACACGGGCACCTCGCAGGGAGGCTCAAGCACACAGTGATAGCTGGGGGGGGGTGTTGTTCTCCCTCCCCCCCCCCCCGGGAAAGGGAACAGCACGTTCTTAACAATGGCGGGCATTTCTGAATCTTCACAGATCCAGAAGAAGGAAGCTGGGTGTCTCTGCCCAGCTTCCCTCTCTAGAGTTTCTTGAGGATGGTTGCGTTTTTACTTGTACAGCTAGGCATGTATTCTCCTTTCTACCATCCCTCATGAGGACGTTACATGGTTCCTCGTCTCTCCTTGTTGAAGACCATTTTAGCTCCCCCACCCCCCATTTTCTTTTAAGATTTCTTTGATTCCGAAAGAAGCTAAAGTCTTCAACGTCGTATCATTGTATTTTTGTTTTTGTTTTTTTTTTAGGCCAGGACCCATCCAGGTATCTAAATTTCCTGCAGTAGTTGGAGGCAGCACTGGAAGGGGCCTCTTTAGGGTTTACCGCCATTCTCTCCAGGGGTGTCCAGGGGGTGGTCCGCTAAGAGAAGAGGGTGGTCAAAATGCACATAAAAAAACCAAGTTGGGTCATAACTGTGGCCACCCCATTTGTTCGCCACATCCTGCAGACCCATCCCCTCCGCCCCTCCAATTGTCTCATTTCCACCCCGCCTCACCCAATCTGCTAGTGACCATAAATTTTACACCTTTTGGAAACTTCTTGCAGTTTGGTGTCACCTGTCTTTGAGGTGTTTTTAATCTGTCTTTTTTTTTTTGGAAAGAACCATTAAAACCGGAGGGAAGAGTAATGGCTATCTTACATTTAATTATGATTGGGTTGTTTTTTTTTTTAAGAAATATTTTTTTCTGTAACTTTTTACCGTGGGTCAGTAGCTGTTAATATTTTCATCAAGATAACAATTTCTGTTTGTTTCAGTACAGGAGAGGATTAAAAAAAAGGGGGGGGGGAGAAAAATCATCTTAAATGTGTAACTTTTTATACAATGTTTCAGTTTCTGTAACTCTGAACATGCTTTGTGTTGAGTTGAATTGTAACAGCTTTTTGTATTTGAAGAAAAAAGAATGAATATTGAACTTTAAACTGCCTGTGGGTTTCTATCTCTACCTGTGCACGTAGCATGTAAAAATTGTCGTTGCTGTTCTTCAGTCGCTAAGTTGTGTCTGACTATTTGCAACCCCGTGGACCATAACACACCAGGCCCAGCTGTCTTCCAGAGCTCGCCCAAATTCATGTTCATTGTGTCAGTGACACTATCTAACCATCACATCCTTTGCCATCCCCTTTACCGTTAATCTTTCCCCCACATTGGAGTCTTTTCCAATGAATCCTCTCTTCTCCTTAGGTGTCCAGAGTAGTCAAGCTCCAGCTTCAATATCTGCCCTTACAAAAAAGGAACAAAAAAAAAAAAGCATGGCTGGGTGGGGAATTCTGGGAGTTGAAGTCCACAAGTCTTCAATATCTGTAGAGATTCTCAAATCATCCAGGGCATGGTGGTCCCCCAAAAATGCTTTTCCAAAAGGCAACTGGCCTTTCTTGGTTTTTTGTTTTTTTTTTTTCCTTTGAAAACGTTTCGCCTCTCATCAAAGAAACCTCTTCAGTTCTGTCTCCGTCTCAGAACTGAAGAAGCTTCTTGGATGAGAAGCAAAACGTTTTCAAAGAAAAAAAACACCAAGAAAAGCCAATTGCCTTTTGGAAAAGCACCTTTGCACATGTGTCTTAAAGGCGTCAAGGTTGAACACCCCGGCTCTAGATGCCTTTTTACAAGTTCAAACTTAACTTTCGGCTGTCATGGTTCCAACTAATGAAACACTTCAAAGAACTTCCAGGCATGAGGGCACATCATGGAAGTTTATGCCAGAATCTAAATTCCTCTTGCTGGCATCTAACTTTTCTTGCTAAACTCCTCCCTTATCTCGCAGTCACAAGTCACATCTTCCAATTAGCCCAGAGGGCAGAGATTCACTTCCGTTCCTTTCCCCTGGCTTTTTTTATTTCCCCTCCCTTTCCTCTGTCATCTGAATTAACTCCAAAAATACCAGACAGTTCTGCATATGTTGTCAAAGCAAGAATATTCAATATTAGCAGCGTTGACACAGGGTTTGTGGGAGAGCTCTTGATTAGCCTGTTTACTATTAGCTTGTTTTTCTGAGTTGCTGGAGTACTGTTTGCCCCTTAATTGTTGGTCCAGTCGGAAACGGCCAAAGTAGCTTTTTCAATCCATTGGATAACAATTTAGTTTTTCAACACATGGCGGATTCTGCGAAGTGCCCTTGGGGCTTGAAGCACGTTGCGCCATATGCGCTACCCAAGTGAAGAGAGGGCTGTGGCTTAGCTCCCCACTTCCCACCCGGAATTGTTACCATCTGTCCACTTCCTTCGTAGAACCTTGCTCGCTCTCGGCTGCCATGTTGGGATGGCGGATAAGAAGGCTGAAGAGAACCTCAAGAAAACCAAGCTACCTAAAACGTAACTGGTTTGGCTCCCGTTGGTTGGGTGTGCAGAGGCTGATTTTGGGACTTCCAAATAGCCCAGAGGGCAAAGATTCACTTCCAGTTCCTTTCCCCTGGCTTTTGTTATTTCCCCTCCCTTTCCTCTGTCATCTGAATTAACTCTAAAAATACCAGACAGTTCTGCATATTTTGTCAAAGCAAGAATATTCAATATTTAGCAGCGTTAACATCGGCCTCTGCACACTTCAGCAGCTGGATGTAGTACTTTTGGCCTTGAATCAGCCACATCACAAGCACCAACATTATCCGTCCTTTCTGCTTCTCCTCGCTTTTGAATTTCTCCCGACGGCTGGATTTAGGAATTTGGGGGGAAGGAATGAACATAATCTAATACTCCTTATCTCCTAGTTTCCTCACAACACTAACCCTGTGAGGTGGGATATAATGACCAGGACCCAGGGAGCCGATTTGCTATTTTACCCAGGTTGTCCGGAAAAAAAAGGATCAGGAAATAGTCTTCCTGTAATGCCCTCCTACAGCTACCATTATGACTATTCCCCCCCCCCCTTAAAAAAGCCTGGCCTTCCTTCCCTTCTCCCACATTTGCTATTTCTGCCTCTTCAGTGGTCCAGTTAGAATCTCAAAGGTGCTTTTCCCAACGTTTGTTTTTCCTTGAAGACCTTTCGCTTCTGATCCAAGAAGCTTCCTCGGTGCTGAGATGGAGACAGAACCGAAGAAGCTTCCCGGATGAGAAGCGAAACGTCTTTAAAGAGAAAGAAAAAGTCCAGCTGCCTGTTGGAAAAGCACCTTTGGGACAACGCCTGAGAATCTCAATGGAGGCGTCCAGTTAGAATTCTCCCGGAACCAAAGTTTCCGCAGCCAAGGTTCCTACCCGGAGCGCCATTCCCGTGGCCCCGTCCAGGAACCGGAAGTGGCTCGGAGAGAGCTCGTTCGTTTTGATTTACGTTCCCCGGCCAAGACGGTCGACCAAGAAGGAGCGGGAGGCGCCTGGGGAGCCGTTTCCAGCGGTGAGCTTCCGTCCTGGCCTTCCCCCTCCTGCTTTGGTGACGTGGCGGGGGTGGCGGGGTGGTTGCCCTGGAAAGGCGCCTCTTCCCGACCTGCTCCCCTTCGGGTCCTCCCTGCTCCAGAATAACAGACTTGGAAGAGACCTTGGAGGTCTTCTAGTCCAGCCCCTACCCAAAGCAGGAGCCCTAATACTATCTCAGTCTAATGGTTCTCCAGTCTCTTCTTAAAACTCTGCAATGATGGAGCAGCCACAACTTCTGGAGGCAGGTGGTTCCACTGGTTAATTGTTCTGACTATCAGGAAGTTTCTCTTTAGTTCTAGGTTGCTTCTCTCCTTGGTTAGTTTCCATCCGTTGCTTCTTGTCCTGCCTTCGGGTGCTTTGGAGAATAGCTTGACTCCCTCTTCTTTGGGGCAGTCCCTGAGATAATGGAAGACTGCTCTCATGTCACCCTTAGTTCTTCTCATTAAACTAATATCCAATATATAAATAATAATAATAATAATAATTAATAGTGGTAGTAGTAGTAGTAGTAGTAGTAGTAATAGTAGTAGTAGTAGAAAGGGACCTTGGAGGTCATCTAGTCCAACCCCCTGCTCAGGCAGGAAACCCTACCCCATTTCAGACAAATGGCCGTCCAGTCTCTTCTTGAAAACTTCCAGTGTTGGAGCATTCACCGCTTCTGGAGGCAGGTTGTTCCACTGGTTAATTGTTCTAACTGTCAGGAAGTTTCTCCTTAGTTCTAGGTTGCTTCTCTCCTTGATCAGTTTCCATCCGTTGCTTCTTGTCCTGCCTTCAGGCGCTTTGGAGAATAGCTTGACTCCCTCTTCTTTGGGGCAGCCCCTGAGATATTAGAACACTGCTATCATATCATCCCTAGTCCTTCTTTTCATTAAACTAGACACATCCAATTCCAGCAACCGTTCTTTATATATTTTAGCCTCTAGTGCCCTCCAGTCTGTCAGGTCGATGTAGAGCGAGGATCTTGGAGAGCCGCATTAGAAGTTTTGTTCAGCTGCGGGAGGGTGTGTGTGCTTAAACCTGAATATTTTGAAATGATGCTTGGATGGAATCCAGAACTTCTTAAGGGGTGGTGGAGTGGCCTTCTGGCTCCCATCAGTATCAGTGGGGAAGGGGGAACCATGTTCTTCCCCCTGCCCACCTTCAAACCCAGTGGATAGTTATTCTGTGTTTTTAATGCCATTAAAGTCTCCATAGTTAAGATAGCAGCAGCAGCAGCATCTTGGGTCTTCCTTCCAAAATTTGTAGCCATTGAAATAATTTTGAATTTGTCTTCTCTATAATTTACTTCACAGAACACCTCTTTGGGCTCAGGCCATAGTGTCGTATAAGCTTATTTGTATTTATTTCTGAGCCACAGGTTGTCCTAGTACAGTAGATGTGATTCCTTCTCTTGGGGACATTTGAGATCTGTTTGAATTGATGCTAACAAAAAATATTTTCTCTTTCCAGGTGTTAATCCTCTAAGAAAAAAAAGGGGGAGGGGAGTTTGCCTCAGAGAGCAATTTTCCAGGCAAAACCGAGGCTAGAAATCACAGAATGGAAATTCCAGCAAGCAAAAGTTGCCCTTTGCAGAGCAACAGAGATTCCGATAGGTCTTTCCAAGCGTCTCCTGGTGATGAGCAGAAGCTTGCAACCTCAGATATGTGCAGCTTTAGAACAGTTGGCAGTTCCCCTCTGAGTCGGACACATTGGGGAGAACAAATGTCAGGAGTCCCAAATTCACACAATTATTCCCCGAGCAGGAAAGGAACATCTGAACCACCTTCTCGCAGGGAAAGAGAATCTTGGAATCCAGACCAAAATATGTCTGTGGGCAAACACGGGTCCAGAGAGAGGCCCCCTCCCTGCCTCTGCTGGGGCGAATTAAAGACAGAAAACCCAGCCACGAATAATGGGAGCAAGGCTGCCCAAGATTGTAACCAAGGCACTGAAAAACTGGAGGACTTGGATGCTGAAAGTGGCACCCCTAGGGGAGAGGAGACCTCCAGCAACAAAAAGTCATATTACAGTAATGATAATTGTAAGTCCCTGCGTTCAGACAGGATGACCGACAGTCCCATGGAGGAGGAAGACTCCGCTCTGCTTGCCATGTTCCATGCTGTGGCCAACAGCCGCTTGGCAGTCCGGAGCCAGCAGAAGGATGAACCAGATTTTACACCAGCCCAGAAATTGGACATTTTACGGGATTTATACCACACCAAGCCTCTGGTCTTCCTGGAGCGCTTCCGAACGGTCCTGCGCGAAGAACACTTGCCCTGTTTCCGCCATCTCTCTGGCAATTATGAGGCTGATTTTTACTGTGCTGAGATCCGCAAAGCAAACCGGGGCAAAACTCTGCACACTAGGATGAGGAACAAGCGTTACGCAGCTCTGCAACAACTCATCAGAGGTACCGGGGCCCTGAATTTTGGAGAGGGAGGGGGTTTACAGTTTTGCTTAAAAGTAAACCTGTAGATTGGCAGATTTATGGACTAAGAGTAGGAACAGGCACCATTTTAGCAACGTATCTTGCAGGTGATATTATTTCCTTCGCATAATAAGGAGGCCAGATCAGAGGCTGCAAGTGTCTTTGTAGCAAATAGAAATAGTTTCTTCTTTTTTTTTTCAGAAAGAGAGGGCAAGAAGACCTGTTAACTGTTCTCCAGGGCTATGGTGCAGTAATTTTGCTGCTCATGCTTGGATTGAACTATAAGGCAGCTGTTCTGCTAGTGTCTGGACTGCATATGATGGATGTGTGTTAGAGGGGGAGGGAGGGAGAGGGAGAGAGAGAGAGACAGAAGGAGAGAGGGAGAGAGACGGACGGAGGGAGGGAGAGAGAGACAGATGGAGGGAGAGAGAGATAGAAGGAGAGAAGGAGAAAGACGGAGGGAGGGAGGGAGAGAGAAGGAAAGGGAGGGAGAGAAAGGGAAAAGGAGGGAGAGAGACGGATGGAGGGAGGGAGAGAGGGAAGGAAGGAGAGAGAAGGAAAGGGAGGGAGAGAGACAGATGGAGGGAGAGAGACAGAAGGAGAGGGAGATGGAGGGAGGGAGGGAGAGAGGGAAGGAGGGGAGAGAAGGAAAGGGAGGGAGAGAGGGAAAGGGAGGGAGAGAGACAAGGAGAGAGGGAGAAAGACGGGCAGAGGGAGGGAGAGAGAGAAGGAGGGGGAGAGAAGGAAAAGGAGGGAGAGAAAGGGAAAGGGAGGGAGGGAGAGAGAGATGGAAGGAGGGAGAAAGAGAAAGAGGGAAAGGAGGGAGAGGGGGAGAAGGAGGGAAGGAGAGAGAGAGAGAAGCAATTGCCATTTGTCTAGTCCAATTCACCTGTTGCACCAACTATACTCCTGGCTCCAGGTTTCTTGTCGCAGACACCTCTCTCCCCGTTCCTTGCAGGTGGGGAATATTTCAGCGATGAGCAGATGAGGGGCCGTGACCCCCTCCTTTACGAGCAATACATCGGACAGTATCTGAGCGATGAGGAGCTGCAGGAGCTTGGCCAGTGTAAGCTGGAGGCTTCCTGCTCCCTCTCCGGCGTCCTCCTAGACTCCTACCAGGAGCACGTGATCCAGCAGCGGCTGCTGATCCAGCAGGAGCTGGAAGACGCCTGCCAAGAGGAGGAGGAGGAAGACAGTGACCAGGAGAGCGAAGGTTGGTGAAACAAGGAAGTGGGATCTAGTGGCTGGATCTCAAGAAGTCCAGGCCCTGCAGAAGACGGAGAGCAGCTGAGTTGCTTCAAAGGGAATTGTGGAGAACCTGCTGGATCGCTGGCTATGCAGGAAAATGGGGAATAATGGATGGGATTTAATGTACAATTTAATTTAATTGTAAATTAAATACAATTTAATCTGCTTTTTTATTCTCTCATAAGCTGCTAGGGAGGATTTCTGTCTCCCGAAAGATTGGGAGAAGCTGCCTCTACTACCCTAAGTAGGAGGAGAGCCAGTTTGGTCTAGCGCAGGGGTGGGCAACCTTGGCTCTTTTATGACTGGTGGACTTCAACTCCCAGAATTCCTGAGCCAGCCATGCTGAGGGGAAAGGGAGAGGTTTCCATGCTGAGCTATGCTGGCTCAGGAATTCTGGGAGTTGAAGTCCACCCATCTCTGAGTGGCCAAGGTTGAGAAATACAGGCCTAGGCCATGGGTAGGCAACCTTGGCTCTTTTATGACTGGTGGACTTCAACTCCCAGAATTCCTGAGCCAGCCATGCTGCGGGGAAAGGGAGAGGTTTCCAAGCTGAGTCATGCTGGCTCAGGAATTCTGGGAGTTGAAGTCCACGAGTCATGAGGGGCCATAGTTCCCTCATGCTGGCTCAGGAATTCTGGGATTTGAAGTCCACGAGTCATGAGGGGGCCATAGTTCCCCAATGCTGGCTCAGGAATTCTGGGAGTTGAAGTCCACAATCATAAAAGAGCCAAGGTTGCCTACCCCTTAGACATGAAAGCTGGTTGGGTGACTTTGAGCCAATCCCCAGGAGACGGTGAGTTCTAGTCCCGTCTTAGGCATGGAAGCCAGCTGGGTGACTTTGTCAATCAATCACCTGGCAGGATTGTTGTGGGGAAAATAGGGGTCGGAAGCTGTGTTGGATATCTTTGCTGCCTAATATCCCACCTAATAAAGTTGGGGTACAAATATATAAAAAAAAATAAGGAAGTCATTTAAAAAAAACAGAGAAGGGCAGGGCGTTCCCAGCCCTGGAAGAGAAGCTGAGCATCCCTCCTCCTGTTCTTCCCTCTTTAGACCAAGCTTTGAATCCTGACGCAGACGAGTGGGTCCCCGATGCAGAGGAGAAGGCTTTCCTGAGGGAAGAGTTCACCAGCCGGATGTACCAGCACTTCCTGGAAGGGAAGGATCTGGACTTCGACTACAGGTAAGGTGAGGACTCAGGACAGGACAGATCTCTGCAGGAGTGGCATGCACCCAAGCCCAAGATACTCTCAATCTTATGCAGGAAAAGACCCAAATATGCCAAGACCTGCATATATATATATATAATGGGCCGACCGGGTGCATCATAAACACACACACAACACTATCCTGGTGTTCGTTTTTTCTATATTTTATTGATATATATATTTCCTGACAAGCAGAGTTGATGGAGAATGCCGGATTTGCTTAATGACTGCATGATTCACTTAACAACCGTGGTGATCTGCTTTGCAGTTGACTCAAGAAAGGTCCTACAACGGGGCAAAACTCAAACTTAACCGCTTTGCTTCGCAACAATAATTTGGGGCCCCGTTGCGGCCATGAGACAACGACTGCCTGTGGTGAACGCTGATCCTTTTTTCCTTCTCTCCTTCATCCCCTGACTTCCCCACTCCTCAGTGAAGTAGACGAGAACCCGGAGTTTGATAACCTCGACATTGTCTCGAGAGACGAGGAAGAACGTTATTTTGACGGGGAGGAACCTGAAGTCGCTGACTCTATGGAAACGGAAGAGACGGAACGAAGACCGTAGTTCCTTGGGGGGGGGGAGGAGGCGAAGGCACCTGGGCGCTCTGCTCCTGGCAAGAGGGCAGGGAAAGGTACATTTGTGGTGCCCCATCGTAGGTTTTATTTCCCTTGGTTGAATTGGGTGGAAAAATCAGCTTCACCTTCACAGCGATGGACCCCGAACTCGTTGCCGAGAGACGTTTGGGAGGCCCACGCACATTTTGTGCCCTCGCCAGTGGGGAGATTCCCACGTTGCTTCCTAAATTCTTCGGAGTGCCCAGTAGGAAAAGATTGGGGAGAACAGGAAGATCAGAGAATGCCAGTCTGGGTTTGACCTGCCCCATCCCTTTATTTGGACACGCTCGTTGTGGAGATTACAGACACGTTCCTTTCCCGGGTCTGCATTTTCCCCTTGACTTGTAAGTCGGTGTTTTTTTTTCAACCTTGGCAACATTCAGAGGGGTGGACTTCCCCCATGCTGACTGAGGAACTCTGGGAGTTGAAGTCCACCTCTCTTAAAATTGCCAAGATTGAGAAACACTATTTTAACTAATCAGTCTCCATTAGAGACATTGCTGGCCTCTAGCTTGCACGCGCCCCAAAACAAACACCCCTGTCAGTGTTCTGCTACTCGGGGGGCCATTGGGATACCAAGTGTGTGTTTTCCAGCATTTGGAAGTGAACAATAAAATCATTTAAAGTAGGCTTGGCGTCATTTAGCGGTTTCTTCAGAATGCTGCAGGAAGTTCGCCGCTTCAGTAAACGCTCCCATAGGACCCCGTTGCTCCCAGTTATTGAAGTCCAACATTGTGCATGATGCACAGTCTCTGTCTCTAAAGGGGTATCGTTGAAAAAACAGAAGGGGGAACCTTTCAGAGTTCACACCAATTCTGGAATTAGAAGAGTTAGTTTGGTTAAGGCACCAATGTAGAAACTGCGAGACAATGACAAAAACCGGCTGGGTGATTTTGGAACAATCACCAGGTGACGGTGAGTTCTAGTACTGCCTTAGGCCTGAAAGCCGGCTGGGTGACTTTGGGCCAATCACCAGGAGACGGTGAGTTCTAGTTCTGCCTTGGGCCTGAAAGCCAGCTGGATAACTTTGAACCAATCACCAGGAGACGATGAGTTCTAGTTCCGCCTTAGGCCTGAAAACCAGCTGGATGACTTTGGGCCAATCACCAGGTGACGGTGAGTTGTAGTTCTGCCTTAGGCCTGAAAGCCAGCTGGGTGACTCTGGGCCAATCACCAGGAGACGTTGAGTTCTAGTTCTGCCTTCGGCATAAAAGCTGATTGGGTGACTTTGGAACAATCACCAGCAGGTAATGAGTTCTAGTTCTGCCTTAGGTGTGAAAGCTGGGTGGGTGACTTTGGGCCAGTCCCTCTTTCACAACCCAGCCCACCTCACAGTAGTTGTTGGGAAAAGAGAAGGAGGAAGCTGTGTCGGATATGTTTGCCACCTTGAATTACTTACAAAGATACAAGGGATAAAATTTTTAATAAATAAACTGAGAGGAACTGAACTCCTTCTAAAGGAGCAAGGAACTTGCCCTTACAGCTGAAAAGACTTGACCAGGATACGAACTCTACCATCTTCCCTTTTCTGAGGAACTAAACTGGCTTGTAAGAGCAGCTCTCCAGTTTTACTCTGGTTTGGAAGCAAGGTGTGTATAAGTGAGCAGATTTCAGCTGTCTGCCCAGCTAGTTGTCCGCTTATGACAACCCACACTCTGGAGTCCCAGGAAGGCTGGCAAAATCAAGCATCCTCTGTATCAGCTGAGAATGCAGCCCTAAATCTAGGCTAGCTTATGTCGATGTCTTAAATCCCATCATTGTCAGCTGCTTTAGATCACTGCAGCCAGGAGGGGGCAGCAGGTCTCCAGTAAACATCTGGATTCTTGGATCCAGTTTGGAGAAACTGCAGAAAAAAACACTTCAAATTTGGCATGAGAAGTCAGGTGGTCTGGCATCTCTCTTCCTTTTTCTCTGTTGTTTGATTGTTGTTACCCGTTTCTCTGCTGACCACTAACTGATTCTGGAGTTCCTTAGGTGACGGTGGCGATTTTAGGATTCAATCCCAAATGGATTCCTAACCAACTAACCAAAGGAGAGAAGTGACCTAGATCTAAGGGGAAATTTCCTGACAGTGGGAACTATTTATCAGTGGAACGACCTGCCTCCAGAAGTTGTGGCTGCTCCATCACCGGAGGCTTTGGAGAAGAGACTGGACAGCCATTGGTCTGAAAGGGTATAGGGTTTCCTGCCTGAGCAGGGGGTTGGACTAGATGACCTCTAAGGTCTCTTCCAACTCTGATGATGATCTGTGTTCTAATCCTAACATTTGGAGTGAAAAATCAAGAGAGCAGGAGCGCATTTTAACCGTACAGAATGGAAAGCACCTGAGAATGTGGAAAGTTTTTGGCTACTAGAAGATTAAGCACGAAAGGAGTCCGGCAGAGCCTTCCCTGGAAGAAGATTCCAAAGAAATGTGGACATCGTCCCAGCAGAGCCTGTTTCCCAGTTGCCACTGACTTCATCTTAGGCAACAAGGCATCCTGAAATGTTTCGGTCACATCCGAGTGACGCAACAGCTTCCCCTTTTCTCACCACACAGGAATCTGACACTCATCACTACAATTGATGTTATGGTTAATGCTAACGGGGCTTGCGTTTGCAAGAACCGCCGTCCCCTGCCTTCAAGGTGTAATGGCCCAGCCAGGGGCTGTGGCACCCATGGCCTCATGAGATGCTCATCAATAAAGGAGAATTATTTGCAGCTCAGGGTTGAAATGAAGGATCCTTGGTGCTCTCTGAGCTGGGTTGGTTTCTTGCAGACGTTTCGCGACCCAACTAGGGAACATCATCAGTGCTAGGAGGAGGATTGTGGCATCCTTGGTACTCTCTGAGCTTGGTGGTTTTCTTTCAGACGTTTCATGACCCAACTAGGGAACATCATCAGTGCTAGAAGGAGGACTGTGACATCCTTGGTGCTCTCCAAGCTTGATGGTTTTCTTGCAGATGTTTCACGACCCAACTAGGGAACATCATCAGTGCTAGAAAGAGGACGGGGGAATCCTTGGTACTCTCTGAGTTTGGTGGTTTTCTTTCAGACATTTCATGACCCAATTAGGGAACATCATCAGTGCTAGAAAGAGGACTGGGGGGTCCTTGGTGCTCTCCGAGCTTGATGGTTTTCTTGCAGACGTTTTCACGACCCAAACAAACATCCTCACTGCTAGTAAGGAATGAGGTTTACTCTCATTTTATATTCGACTGGCTTGCCCTGTCAAGAGTTGCTGGAGGTGGCCTTGGAGGCTCTTTGGCTGTTTACTCTTAGCTTATTCAGCAGTTCCTTGATTGGGGTATTGTTCACTTCTGGATCGTTGGACCTGTGTTAATCTTGGAGTTCCTCTTGGGTCATCCGGGGTTGATGGCTGGTGGGGAAGTGTTTTGGCCTTTTTGTTTTGGCTTGCCGATGGTCTCTTTTGCACAAGCACGCAGGTGCTCAGAAACGGGCTTCCCAGTGTGGAACATTTCCCAGAGAGCATCTCCGCAAATCGTAGGAAGGCCTGGAAAAGCGAAAAGGGCAGATTCGGCCGGTGCCGATAGAAAAGACTATTTGTAGCCCAGGGTTACACGGTGAGGACCTCTCAGGGCCCAACGAGGTAACGTCATCCGTGCTAGAAGGGAGTGGGCTTTGTGGAGAGGAGGAAGCAGGGGGACCGTGGGGTCCCTGACGCTCCCTGAGCTTGGTGGATTTACGACAGTTTTGCCAAATATCCCCCCCCCCCAAAATTAAATCTGTTCTTTGGCAAAACTGCATCCAGAGAAGCCCCTGGGAATTCTGGGAAGATCTAGGAAGTCCTGTTTTTTTTTCAGCGAAGAATCAAATTTTATAGAAGACACTACAGGTACGGGCAGAATTGGTGTACAGTGTACGGCCAGAATTGAGCCCAAAACTTCTGTTGCTAAGCCAGATAGTTGTTAAGTGAATTGTGCCCCATTTTACGACCTGTCTTGCCACGGTCATTAAGGGAATCACTGCAGTTGTTAAGTTAATAACACGATTGTTAAGCAAATCTGGCTTCTTCCCCCGTTGACTTTGCAAAAGGGGATCACATGACCCCGGGGATGTCATAAGTCACGAGTCAGTTGCCAAGCATCTGGATTTTGATCATGTAGCCACGGGGATGCACAACGGTTGCAAGTGTGAAAAACGGTCGTAAGTCACTTTTTCTCAGTGCCGTGGTCTCTTCGAGTGGTCACTAAATGCACTGTTGTAAGTCAAGGACTACTAAAATTGATTGAGTCCTCCCAAATCCCAGATTCCCTCTTCTACCTTGCCAGGGGCGGACTCACTGAGGACTAGCAGCATGGCCGGGCAGTCAGTTGCCTAACAATGCCTCTTAAAACGGCCAAAGGGGGGGGCTTGTGAATCTGACTCTTCCCCCTCCCCAAATCCGTTGTGTATCCCCCCCAGACCCACCCCCAAGCAGTTTTGTTTTTATAATATCGTATTCGTTTTCTATGATTACAGTTCATTAGTGCTTAATGTGTTGATTTGTTTTGCTTAGTACAGTGGTTCTCAATCTTTTTAATGCCGCGACCCCCAACCGGTCGTAAGTCGAGGACTACTCAACTGGTCGTAAGTCGAGGACTACTCAACTGGTGCAGCACCGTTTGCAGAATGGGACTTTTGGCGGGCTCAGCAGGGCAGAGAGTCTATTCTATTGGCTTTCAAAAGCCAATAGAATAAAAGGGAGTAGCACAGCTAAGGAAAAGGGGGGGGGGGAAATGGCGGACTGCGTTGTTTGGTGACCCCCGTGAAATGGCCGTTCGACCCCAAACGGGGTCCCGACCCACAGGTTGAGAACCACTGGCTTAGTAATACAAGTTGAGTTTTTACTCTCCGGCTCGTTTTTTCCCAGCCCTTGATAAAATAAGTTCCCTGTTTGCAAATATTCTGCCTCTTCTTTTTTCCTGGATCCTCAATGCAAGCCTGTCCGTTTCAGCACAGTCCAGCGTTAGGAACCCCGAGCAGTTTTAATTCTCGCAAAACGTCCTTGCCAACTGCTGGGAGCCAGGCCCTGGGACTGCCATTCCAGCGGGAGCCTCTCCTTTCTGCCAACGTGGTTCCCTGCCAGCTGCCAATTGCTCTCTCGAATGCCCGCAGAGGCCAGGCACCCACTTGAGGCTCTCGGCAAGCTGCAACGGAGCCCCGTGGGCGCTTCAACCCAGCCCTATCCTGCCACCCCAGGACGGGGGAAAAAAAACAAACCAATCAGGAATCTCTTGCCAGCTCAGGGCTGGCTGGATCTGACGCCACTTTCCCTTGAGATGGTGGGGAGACCCCTCGGGGAACCCCCCCCCCAATGATTAATCCCTCGCTTGGCAACGCTCAGGCCTCAGCCTGCCGTCGGGGCTGGTAGGAAGGCCGACTTCTGCCTGGCGCTGCCACTGTTTTCTCACTCTGGGGCCGGTGTGGATTACTTTGCAAACAGGATGCTGTCTGCGCCCGGCCCGGCGGAGGGTATTCCCGCCGCCCTTCCCTCCTTCCTCCCTCCTCCTTCCATGGGCCCTGAAGCGTTTGCCTGAGTCACGGATTTTGGCAGAACCGAAGGAGCAGAGCACAAAGCAGAATAAGCAGCGTTGGAAGGGACCTTGGAGGTCATCTAGTCCAGTGGTTCTTAACCTTTTTGAACGAATCGCCCCCTTGAGCCAATGAGGAAGTTGTCATCGCCCCCCTCCCCCAACATAACCTCTCAATCACAACCTAGGAAATAATTCTTCGATTTATCCAAACACTTTTTTTGGTTTTCTTTAACATTGTCATCAGGACATATCGATGCAAATAATTTATCTCCAGTCTTTTTCCCATATCTCAACTGTGTGAAAAAGTTTGGTGCCACCCGTCACTTTATTCCCAAACTTCGTGATACAAGTATTTCATTATTATCTTATTTATTCAAGACACTTAAATGTAATGACCACTGAAAACAAAATTCAATGGCCAGAAAGTGAAATGCCCGAAAAGAAAAACAGTAACATTTTAGTGATTGAATTACAAGTGAAATTGAAGACGCAAAAAGAAATATAAAAAGGGCATAAAAACAAACCGCAATGCAGGAACTAAGATGAAACGGACATAAGCCAATAACAAGGCTTCATTTTCACCAATTGTTGACTCGTCAATCTGCATCACGAATTCTGTATTTTTCAAGGTGTCAATAAGACTTTCTTCCACATCAGCCATTTCATCGATTCTTTTTGATACGGTGTCATTGCTCAAAGGAATCGATTGCGTGATAGTGCTTGCGCTGGGCCCCAACATGGTGGCAACAATCTGTTTCACTGCTGGTAAAATCAGCATTTCTCCGATAGTGTGACATTTGCCACATTTTGCTATCAACAAAGATACTTCATGGGAACAAATGAGCCCCTTGTCGGCGTTGAGTGATGATTTTCCAAATAACTTCCCAACAGTGCTGCGCCCCTCAAACTTGGCCTTTAAGGATTGGAAAAACGATGCCGGTTTCTTACCAAATGGTCTTTCAGTCGGGAAGGCTTCATCCGCTTCATTTGAAAATGTTTTCTCACAAAGAAGACAAAACGGAAGCTGTACGTTGGAGGGAGATGGAATGAATCCCAATTTTAGGTATTCCGTCAAATATTGGTGACACTTCCTCTTCTCGGCCATGTTGAGAGGTCTTCAAAATGAAAGGCACTACCTGCAAATTAAATTTTCGACTCCACTGGAACACTAGAAAAACACACGTGGACGTCGATAAACCTACTTTCAACAGTTACGTTGACATTACAGCTGACGTCACAGGGGACAGCCATTCAGCATGCGATGTTTCGAAAGAAGCGCTCCCCCCTCCATCACTGCCCATTCTGGCCAATGGCGCGCCACTGTATGGGTAGAGGCTGCTGCGCAACGCGCATGAAGATAAGCGATGCGTCTTCACATATGTACGGCATTCTGTACTGAAGCTAGCTGGAGGAACATTTGAAAACACAATTCAATCCACTAATAGCGAGTGATCTGATATTTTTGGATGACAGATATACAGTGATTCACTGTACGAAAAAGTCTCAAAAGTGTCCCCAAAACTTCTCGCTCCATCACCCCCATATCACCCTCTTTTTGTTCCTTTGCCCCTGCATCACCCCTTTTCATTCCATCGCCCCCCTGAAAAATGAAATCGTCCCCTGGGGGGCAATATCGCCCAGGTTAAGAACAACTGTTCTAGTCCAACCCCACCCTGGCAGGAGAGATCCCCATATGATTCTGGACCAATAGCTGTCCGGTCTCTTCTTGACCACCCGTCTCATTCACGAGGGACTCTGGTTGTTGTACAATTTAAAAACAAAAACAGAAGATGCCCATTGAATGCTACATTTCAGCCTCTAGAATAGATTACTGTGAAAATGCAGAAGGAAAGACTCGGAGCTAAATTGATTTAGCCCCATCCCAATGAGGTTAGTAGAATAACAAGAGTTGCTAGGACCCTTGGAGGTCTTCTAGTCGAACCCACTGCTCAGTTGGTCCCGGTGGGCTAATCACCAGGAGGCTGTGAGTTCTAGTCCTGCCTTAGCCATGAAAGCCGGCTAGGTGACATACGACAGTCACCAGGAGGCTGTGAGTTCTAGTCCTGCCTTAGCCATGAAAGCCGGCTAGGTGACATACGACAGTCACCAGGAGGCTGTGAGTTCTACTCTCGCCTTAGCCATGAATGTCGGCTAGGTGACATGCGACAGTCACCAGGAGGCTGTGAGTTCTAGACCCGCCTTAGCCATGAAAGCCGGCTAGGTGACATGCGACAGTCACCAGGAGGCTGTGAGTTCTAGACCCGCCTTAGCCATGAAAGCCGCCTAGGTGACATGCGACAGTCAACAGGAGGCTGTGAGTTCTAGTCCTGCCTTAGCCATGAAAGCCAGCTAGGTGACATGCGACAGTCACCAGGAGGCTGTGAGTTCTAGTCCTGCCTTAGCCATGAAAGCCAGCTGGGTGACTTTGGGGCTGTTGCTCCCTCTCAGCTCAAAAATAATAAAACTAGGATATAAACAAACAAATGAGGATGCCAGCAGATGGAAAGGTAAGAAGTCCTGGACGGTGTGTGTATGTGCGTGTGTGTGTATCATTATCACGTCTTCTTTGTGCTTCCCAAAAGACACCCACGGTGCAGGAAAGGGGGAGGCTGTTGCAATCCCACAAATTGTGCAAAGCCAGGCATGTCTGTGCAACAGGTATCTTGGCTAGAGAAAGTTCTCAAGTTCCCCTGCGCCCTTTCGGTTTTTCCGGAAGCTCCTGAAAACGAGCTGTGGTTCCCGCAGCTTGACACCTAGTTTTTCTTTTTTTACAGGCGGTCCTCAACTTAACAACCACAAACATCTGTTTGGTGAATTTTGCCCCATTTCAGGACCTGTCTTGCCACGGCACTTAAGTGGATCGCTAAAGTTGTTAAGGTCGTTAAGCGAACCTGGATTCTCCATGGACTTTGCTTGTCGCAAAAGGGGATCACATCACACACACACACACACACACACACACACACAAACACCGGGACATTTCAACGGTCGTAAATGCGAATCAGCGGCCAAGCGTCTGAATTTTGGTCACGTGACTCTGGGGTGGGGGTGGTGCCGCCGTGGTCAAAAGCGCGAAAACGGGTTTGAGGTCCCTTTTCCAGTGCCGTCGTAACTTTGAACCACCCCTAAGCGAGTGGTTGTTAAGACGGGGATTCCCTGAGCAACCCATATAAAAGTGGATTAGGAAGGTGAGCGATCCAGAGTGGCCGAGCACATGCGGGGATCCTGGGGAGGATTCGAACCCGGCTCTCCCTCCCTCCACAAAGCTTCTTAACCCTAAAATCACCACCACCACCACCACCACCCCCGCTCACGGCAGACCCTGGACAGATGGCCCGGGACCTGGGTCACCCAGCCGCCTGTTGTCCAGGAGCGAAGAAGGGAAAACCTCTAACCAGGACTGAGGTCACCGCTTTGAAGATTGCAGGCTACCCTTGGGCTGGAAGACGCTTGTGGTTTGACACAACTGTCGGTTTGCCTTGCTTGTCGCCCAGTTTCCCAGGAGCATGTGGGAGTCCGGTTTGGCTGGGCTACAACGTTCTGGAGTGTCCCAAGAATTTCTCTTTTCCCCCCCCCCCACTCCCCCACCCCCACCCCCCCACCTCCGCAAAGGATGGACTGGCACGCTGCTTAAATCACGGTCAAAGATCAACGGAGTCATAAAATTCAAGAAACCATTTCTCTTGAGCCTTCCTGGATGCTGCTCTCGGCTCTGGCTCTCGTCTTCTTCAACATCGCAGGACCCAGGTTGCTTTCCCACAACCTGGTTAGAGAAAAGCCCCGGCAGACACCTTTGCGGGGTTCCTGGGGGGGGCGGCTTTCTGGCAGACCCAAAGGTGCTTTCTCTGGAGGCAACTGGACGTCCTTGTTTTTCCTTGAAGACGTTTCGCTTCTTATCCGAGAAGCTTCTTCAACTCTGACTGGAGGGTGGGGAACGGAAGAGCCGAAGAAGCTTTTTGGATGAGGAGTGAAACGTCTTCCAAGAAAAACAAGGCAGTCCAAGTTGCCTCCTGAAAAAAAAGCACCTTTGGGACAACCAGACCTGCAGGACTGAGCCTCTCCATAGACTTTCTTGCAGACGTTTCATTACCTGGCTAGCTAACGTCATCAGTGCTGGAAGGGAGTATGGGGTTTGCTCTGCCACCCGTTTTAAAGGCACGTTGGCTGAGGGATTCTGGGAGGTGGAGTCCGCCCATCTTACAGGAGACCGGCTGAGGGATTCTGGGAGTTGGAGTCCGCCCATCTTAAAGCAGGCCGGCTGAGGGATTCTGGGAGTTGGAGTCCGCCCATCTTAAAGCAGGCCGGCTGAGGGATTCTGGGAGTTGGAGTCCGCCCATCTTAAAGCAGGCCGGCTGAGGGATTCTGGGAGTTGGAATCCGCCCATCTTAAAGCAGGCCGGCTGAGGGATTCTGGGAGTTGGAGTCCGCCCATCTTAAAGCAGGCCGGCTGAAGGATTTTGGGAGTTGGAGTCCGCCCATCTTAAAGCAGGCCGGCTGAGGGATTCTGGGAGTTGGAGCCCGCCCATCTTAAAGCAGGCCAGCTGAGGGATTCTGGGAGTTGGAGTCCGCCCATCTTAAAGCAGGCCGGATGGGAGTTGGAGTCCGCCCATCTTAAAGCAGGCCGGCTTGGAATCTTAAAGCAGGCCAGCTGAGGGATTCTGGGAGTTGGAGTCCGCCCATCTTAAAGCAGGCCGGATGGGGAATCCTTGGAATTTTGGAATGGGATGATAAGCATCCTCAGTAGCCGGATGCAGACGATGGAAGCAGCCAACCGGACGCGAGCTGGGAACAGGCTAGGAACAGTAGCCGTTGGATCCCTAGAGGTAGATGTGACCCAAGGACTTGTTTTTCCTTCCCATCCCTTGGCTTGCTTTTGTTTAGGCCCGGCTGCGGGGTCGGCCCGTGTCGGAGAGGACCCTGGGCTATTTCCATCTTCCGTGGGCAGTTTTAATGATACCTCTTTACGGCCTGAAATTACACCATCAGCCCTTGAGTCACCTGCCCTGTCCCAGCCCCAGGCCCCACCAGCCCGGGGAGTGACTCATACCTAGGAGAGAGGTGCTGCCGGACCACAGGAGGCAGGGCGGCAGCTGAGTAAACACTGCAGATAAGGGTGGCGGTGGGGGGGGCAGGGGGGGGCTCCTCCCACGCAGGCAGAAACAGAGGCATCTTTGCCCAACGTGGCACAGTTCCCCCGGGCAGGGCTGATTCAGCCACGGGACGGCCTGCTTCTGTTTTGTTTTCTTAATCCTGCGTCTGCCCCCTCCTCTAAAGCCTTGGGGATTGTGCAAAGTGAAGCGTGCACGGCTGCAAAGCCTTGTCAGCTGAGAACAGTCGGTTCCTCTCGGATACCGAGAAAAAAACAGTTATTCAGAATTCTCGGGGAATCGCCCGGGGCACGGCGTGTGCCCGCAAAGCCATCTGCAAAGTTCCAGCTGCAATCCTGTCTCGGGCAGGGCCGCTGTCTCGGTTTTTGATTGACAGCCACCTGTCTGAAAGGCTAGGGTCTCCTCCTTGAGCAGGGGAGTTGGACTAGAAGACCTCCAAGGTCCCTTCTGGCTCAACTCTGATGGATTGGTTGAGATCCCAGCTTTTATGAGGTTTACAAATAACCTCAAAACGGCAAGCACAGCTAACGCATCTTCCGCCTCCTATTTCCCCATAACAGCAGTCTTGTAAGGTGGGTGGGACTGAGAGAGAGAGAGTGACTCAGCCAAAGACACCCAGCTGGCTTTCATGCCTAAAGCGGGATTAGAACTCACCATCTCGTGGTGATTAGCCCAAGTCACCCAGACAGTTTTCACAGCTAAGGTGGAACTAGAACTCACCATTTATTTATTTATTTATGAGACTTATATACCGCTTTAAGTGCAAGCACTCTCTAAGCGGTGTACACCAGTAAGCAATGTATATATATATTTACATTGCCCCCAACAATCTGGGTCCTCATTTACCTACCCCGGAAGGATGGAAGGCTGAGTCAACCTTGAGCCGGTGAGATTTGAACCGCTGACCTGCTGAACACAGTCAGCTAAAGTGGCCTGCAGTACTGCACTCTAACTGCTGCGCCACCTCGGTGATTGGCTCAAAGTCACCCAGCCAGCTT